ATAAGTAAGGAAATTATTGTATAGGCAATTGTGCTCTTATCTGTTTATATGAGGCAAGAGAGCATATAAAGGCCTGGCTAACAGCACAAAAAGGGGGAGGGAAATACACTGAAAAAAATAACTACTTGGATAAGCCCTGCCGTGCATTATGAGGTCATCTCAGGAAAATGTCATGAGGAAAGTCTGGAAACCAGAGTTAGTGACAGCTATCTCTCTCTGAGTGATACAGTACTATAGGTATATTCTCCCTTTATTTTATGTTCTGTATTTTATAAAGTAAGTATTTGGTTTTTTTAATGTAGTACAATATACATAATAGAATTTTCATTGCAATAAAATACACGTAACAGGATTTTCCATCGCAACCCTTCTGAGTGTTTAGTTTAGTAGCAGTGTTGCTCATCCATGAATGTCAACTATTTCCAGAACTTTTACATCATCCCAAACAGAAACTCTACCAATTAAAGTGTAACTCCTGATTCCTGCTCCAGGCCCTTTCTCTACTTTCTGTCTCTATGAATCTTATATTATGTGATTGGATACCAAGGGCCAAGTATTATATGATTTCACCTGTATATTTAACTTATTTCACTAAACTTAATGACTTCAAGGTTCTTTCCTATTATAATATGGCTGAGAATTTTATGCCTTTTTGAAATTGGATAATATTTCATTGTATGAATATACAATTTGTGTAAATATTCATCTTTTGGTGGACATTTTGGATTTTTTTCTACCTTATAGCTACTGTGAATAATGTTATTCATGTTGGTATGTGTTACAGTTCATATCCAGATGTCTCCCCAAAATGTCAAGTGCTTAGAGGCAAGGGTTTGGAAAGGTTTTTGGATGATGTAGGCATAGCTGACTTGCTGTTAGGAGGTGGGGTTGGGACAGAAGAGGCAGGTCACTGGGGGACTTGACCTGGAAGGAACTATCTCTTTTTCTGGCCTCCACTCTTCTTTGTCCTGTTACTGACCTCAGTGAATTGAGCAGTTTTCCTTTGTAATGTCCCTCTGCCTCATACTGTCCTGACTCTAAGCCAGTGTGTTATAGACTTAAAACATGAGCCAAAAATAAACCTCTCTTTAATTTGTTGGAGTTGGGTATTGAGTCCCAGTGATGAGGAAAGTGACTATGACATTGTGTAAGAATCTAGTTGAGCCTTTGCTTCAAATTCTTTTAGGTATATAACTACTCAGGGAACTACTGGACAACATGGTAATTCTGTTTATTCTTTTTGAGGATCCACGGTGATTATTCCATTTTACACTGCCAACTCTTGCAACAATGCATAAACATCCATATATTTGTTATTGTCTATTTGTATTTTCTTTGATTTTATGATAGCCATCTTAATAAGTATGAAGTGCATTTTTTATTTTTCTAACAAGCAAAAAATTGTAATAAATGACTTATGTGACTGAAGAATTCTATGATAACCTGCGTTAAGCTGGTAACATGAGGGGCATGGTGGTGCACACCTGTAATCCCAGCACATGGGAGGCTGAGATAGGAGGACTGCAAATTCAAGGCCAGCCTGAACTGCACAGTAAGACCTTGTTTCAAAAACACAAAACTAACAAACAAAAAAGTGGTGGTACTAGGAATACAACACACTACATACTCTTGCTTTTCATTCCTTCAGTCAAGACAATATTTAATGAGTGTGAATAGTTTTATCATCATTATTGATTTTTGCAGTAATTTCAATGTTTAAACTACTGTCTTAAAAATTACTAAATTTTTTCTTTTAGTTATTGAATTATCTTAGCATCACCTTAAATTTTGTGCCAGAATTGATGGAGTGTCTCATTTGCCTTGTCCTACCCTAGTTAGATAACTGTTTATAAGTCACAAGCATAGTTAGGGTGACCAGAAATAATACCAAATTCATTGTTTTGAACTTTAGGTTTTTCTTTGCTAAAGCTATCCAGGTAATAGCCACACACAGTTGTTCAGAAAAGCACTCCTGGCTAGAGTTCCTATGTATCCTCATGAGCATCTCCTAAGGCAAACACCTAATGCTACTCTGTGTACTGCGACTAAAACCAAGAAATTGCTGTTACAATCAATACTAATAGCCAGATTACAAATCATATTTCTCCACTTGTATTCAAAAGGATACAAATATCCTTTTGTTGCCCCAAGATCTGATCCCACAATTTAACGTTTTCAGGAACAGAATAGTTCATTACTTCTTAGCTCAATTAGAACAGAAACTATAATAGAATTATACAGAAAAGGGGAAGACTACTTCTGATTTTGAAAACTGGTAAGGTTGAAGGGGTCAGGGAAATTTCCCTCTATGCTGTGAAGGTTCACTGAAATAAGCTAACAAAGATTAAGTAGGTTAAAAAGCATGCAAATTATCAACTGTGCAAAAGAAGAAAAGTTGTGATGTGGGTCTGATCACAGGAAGATTATCACTCACTGGTTCAGCATCATTCAGAAGCTTATACACTATGTTTTCTACAGAAGAATGGAAGGTGTAGATAACATTTTGAGTCAAGAATGAATACTGAAGATTATAAGACAGAAATTAAGTTGAAAAATAATCTCCTTGGAACCTGATGAACCCAAGGGACAGACATCATCTCATAATGGAAATCCATCCAGCTGTAGTTACATTTCTCAGGCTTCTTTCCTGAGACAGACAATGGCATTTCAGGTATGAATGGAAAATGGTTATGTTCCCTTTTGCAGTCTGCTTATAAATAAGTAAATTCTAGGGTCTCTACCTATGTTTGAGTAGGCAGAAGCAATACAAACTGTTCCTTTAGATTGAAGTTTACCATGACAAGAAAGTGCCATATTTTTAAGATATTACCCATTGAACCTCAAGGGGGTCAAGGAAATTTGCTATTCTGAGCGGCACTATCCTGGGAGACATTTTGGTCATGTGATATGATAACACAATGGACCAGCTGTTGCTGGCTGAGTGGTACTCTAGAAACAAGGTACTATCTTTTGACTCTTATTTTTGAGACTGTATTTACTACCACAGTGCGATAGTGTCACCCTGGCATTGTTGGTGAGATTACAATACCGTATTGATGGTCCAATGTATTTGGAAATTGAATTAAAGTCATCTGACTACCTAGTAGGTCTTCCAGGTATAGGCATGTTTATTCTGCAGTATGAAAACTTTGGCCAGAGGTCAAAATGTGGTAAAGAATTCAGCATTGTTCACAGACGTTAACTATTTTATGTTTGCTTCTGGGAGTTCATGCAGGTCATGTCTGATAAGTGTCTTTGTTTAGGTGAGTCTAGCCAAACTGGACTTTATGTAAAGAGCTGGCTATACCACAATGACCAGCTACATCATTTAGCTGGGTTCTTTGTATTGTGGAATACCAGTGTACTTGGAGAATGAGTTTAAACATACGGACAGTCAAGTAGGTAATGAGGCCCAGTAAAAACTCTGGACTGAGATGGTTGTCCTTGGTCAGTAACACTCCAATAATACTGTCACAAATCCATGAGTGGAGGATAACACAGTAACACAACAGGTAGATGACAATAAAAACTTTATGTACCTAGCCCTCCAAATTTTGCCCTATGTACATCTTTCCTTGTTGTTGATCTATGGAATCTTTCCCTATAATAAACCACTGCCAAAAGTTAATAAATCCCTTGTAGAAAATCATCCAATTGAAGCTGGTTTGGAAAAACCTCTCAAATTTGCAATTGGTGTCAGAAGTCTTGGGAACTTTGCCTTCAAATCTTGCAGTATAGTTAACCTACTTGACTGTCTGGGCAAACAGTGAAGAAAATAGAAAAATTAATTCTTATTGTCTTTTAACTCCTTAGTATTTGTTAATATAACTATTTCTTTAAAAAGTAACACGATCCCCGGTACCGATAAAAAGGAAAAAGACAAAAAAAAAAAAAAAAAAAAAAAAAAAAAAAGAATATCAAAACCACATGACATTTCACACATAGTGGAAAGTCTATAATCAAAAAAAGATGAGAACAAGTGTTGGTGAGGATATGGAAAAGTTAGAGCCAAGAAAGAGTTGACAGGGGTGTAAGAGCCCTCTCTAGTAACCCCCTCAATCAGTGAAGCAGAGTAGCCGCGAGATCCATCAATTCTACTCCTAGAGCCATATCCAAGAGAAATTACCAAGTATGTCCACACAAACACCTTTTTATAAATGTTTACCATACCATCATTTGTGAGAGCCAAAGTACAGAAATGACCCAAACTTCTATGAATTGATGAACTAAGAGTAAATGTGATATAGCTACATAGCAGAATATTACTTGGCAATAAAAAGAAATGAACTAATATATTTTACACTATCGAGGAACTTTAAAGACATGGTAAGTCAAAAAAGCCAGGCATAATTGTTCTTATTGTGCTTTCATTTACATGAAATCTGTAAAATAAGTAAGTCTATAGAAATAGATTGTCTGGGGCCGGGCAGGGTTTGGGAGAAAATGCCTGAGAGCTAATGATTGTAGAACGTCCTCAGGATTGTGACAGAAATGGTCTGAAACTGATGGTGACTTATACAACCAACTACTTAAAAACCACTTTATTGTGCACTTTAAATCGGTGAATTGCATGTTGATATGTGAATCGGGTCGTCATAAGGCTGGTTTGTTTTGTTTTGAACGTGCATTGGTAAAAAGACGATCCCTGAGCATAACAAAACTAAATTAGTTCAATGATTTTTTTTTTTCTTTTTCAAAACTCCCCGTTCAGACTTTCCCGGTCTTCACAAAAGTGAAAGTGCGCTGTGATCGTTTTCTGAGTACGCCACGAAAACACGAACTGGAATTTGAGGTTTCCGAGTTTCGTCTTTGGACACCCACACCGAAGAGATCCGGAGATCCCGGAGCCACGGTTTCCACAAGTCCCAACCGCTTCCCGCAGCTGGGCGCGGGCCTAGCGAGAGGCGGAGCTCCCGGGCCCCGGCGCCTCTAACCCTCGCCCTCGGAGGCAGCGCCGCGGGGTCCTAGGGAGCAACCGCGCACACGCCCCGGCGGGGGCGGCTCTCCGCGGGAGCGCGGCCCGCGGTGGCTGCCTGGCGTTCGCTCGCTGCGCGCGGGAGGCCGGGCCGGGCCGGGCGGGGAGAGGGGCTTGGGGTTGCCCCCTGGCGGCTCCGACGGGTCCCCGCCTCCCCTCCCCGCGCCGCCCGATCGCGGCCCTCTTCGGCTCCTCCTCTTCCCCTCCGTGGCCGCCCCGCCCTCGACTGCAAACCCAAACACTCCTCGCTCCTGCTGCGCGGGCGGCGCGTGATTGCTCGGCTGCCGCAGCCGTTCTGCTGCCGTCGCCGTCGCCGCCGCGCGCCCGGCCCAATCCGGCCGCGCGATGCTGCTGCTGGCCGCCGCCTTCCTTGTGGCCTTTGTGCTGCTGCTCTACATGGTGTCTCCGCTCATCAGCCCCAAGCCCCTCGCCCTGCCCGGGGCGCACGTAGTGGTGAGTGGCCGACTTCCTGGCCTTCTCGGCCGGCCCGCGATCCAGGCCGCCGACCCTTCTTCCTTCAGGCTGCAGGTCCCACGAAGGGCCCGCCGCAGGGAGAGGCTCACCTGCCGCCGTCCACCCAGACACAGCCCCTGCGGCCTCGGGGACCCGCCCTCCGCGACGCTGGCTCCTCCCGGGGCCGGGGAGCGGTGCGCCCCCGGCCGCGCTAAGCAGCCGGGTTGCAGGGCTGCAAGGAGCTGCTCGCTAATCCCCGGAGCATCCCTAGGAAATGGGTGTTTTGGTCCTCAGGCTTCCGAATGAGTCATCAGAGAAGCCGAGAAACTTTGCCAAGAACACAGCGGTCGAGGGTGCGTGGACCCGACAGGAGCAGTCAGTAGGGGCGGCAGCAAGGCGGCGGGATCCCTACCGTCCCAGGACCCGGCCCTGAGGCTCGGGACTGGAGGGTGGGCTGTGCGACTGACCGAGCAGTTACAGAGGAGTCCAGGAAGTGACTCACCTGGGGGAAAATTGCTCAGAAGCCAGGGTTGATGGTCTTGGGCATTAGTGCTGGGACGTCCCTGAGGGGTGTGCTGATTGCCCACTCAGTGTGGTTGGTCCTTTGCTACAGTTCCAGAGTCGGAAGGGTGAGGTAAACGGGCAAGGCTAGGTCTTGAGGCTTGAGAAGAGATTCCAGTGAGAGGTTTGTTTTACATTCAGCCATCTCTATGGCAAGCATGGCACCATTCTCCACCCGCAGAGAATTCATCCTCCCCTCTCACCCAGCACTTCACCGTGAGCAGTGGTAGTCTCAGCAGTGCTCCTGGTTAGACTTCAGCCTGAGGCTTGCCAGGGCCAGGAGTTGTGAATAAGAAAAGTTGGTTACTAAGCTGGCAAGATGCATCTTCTTGGTGCTGTAGGATAGGATGGCCATTTGTTTTAATATACTTCAAAATCTGGGTAAGGGTTTATGGGTTAGAAAATGTATTTTCTTTCATTTCTCCTTTGTAGAACTATTAGTTTGTTTCCAACTCTTGATATTTTGATGTGGAAGGTGAGAAGTTGAGTGTAGATAAGACAGAAATGGGAATCCACAAGACTTCTGCCTCAAAGCATGCTTTTGAACCTTGAATTCTTTTGGAAGTTGTCCTTGCAGACTATAACCTGATGGAAAGAAGTAGAAACAAAATGAAAATGAGAATAAATATTAAACATTTTGACTCAATAATTACAAAATAGTTTCGGTTAACTTTGATACTAGTCCATTTGTTCCCTCAACTCCAGGCTGCAGGTGACATAACAAAGGCCCTGTTAGAATAGACCAAGCATTACTCACCATCTTACTTTAATACTGTTTGTGAATGTATATACAACTGTAAATAATGAGAGCTTGACCTGAGTAATTCACCTAGTGATATCATTCTTTAATGTTGAAGAAGCGTAAAGTGGCTGGGCATGGTGGTGCACACCTGTATTCTCTATGCTCAGAGGCTCAGGCAGGAGGATCACTGTGAGTTCAGTGCCAGCCTGGGCTACATAATTCAAGACCAGGCTGAACTGCCGTGAGTGAGACCCCGTGGCCAAAAAGAAAAAAAAGAAAATGAAGTGTAATGAGATTGGTCAGGTGTAAAGCAGGTGACGTGGGAAGAGGAGGCTAATCCTTTAGACTGTCAATGTGTCAACATGAACAATTTACACCTGTTTGCTGATTACTTTGGTGACAGTTCTTGTCTGCTAGTGTGCTTTGTGTCATTGCAGTGTGAAACTGCAATGAAGCAGCACAGTCTCACATACTAGGTGCATGTTTCAGGCCTGTCTTTTGGAAGTAAGCTAACTCCTGTTGCCCTTAATAAGAGCTATCGGGTGTGATTAAGAAAGGAAACTGAACTGTTACCTTTAATGTTCTCTACCAGGATTCATTTTAGCAATTTAGCAGCTTAATATACCTGTACCAATTTTTCAGCCATTGTGGAAAAACCCTTGATATTTCTTGTAACAATCAGAATAACAGCCCAGAATTGCCCTATATGTATCCTTAGATACCTTTTAAATATTGCCTGGCTTGACTAGAAGAGAGTTTCCTGAGGATTGTGATCCAAAAGACAAACTCTTTTATTACAGAAACATCTTAAAAATTTCGGAGTTTAAACCTTGTTTTCATTTTGCAGTAAGTTAACACAGCTTCCCTATTTGTCAGTTTAGAAAAAAAGGACAGCAATATTAACTATGACTAATACTCACATAGCATGTTACGGTATATAGATTTTTCTCAACAACCTCATAACTTGCTACTAATTCTCTGGATAATGAGTAAAGGAAATTTATTTACATGTTTTTGTGGCATCAGAGTTTTCAGGAAAATAGCATCAGATACCATTTTGCAAACTAATGTAGGAAAATAGTTATTTAGCAACTTTTATGCAAGGTACTATGCTAGGAATGAATGTGGTCAATCTGACTCGATACATGACCCTGATTAACTAGCAGTCTGGCCAGGAAGCTAAGATATGCCTGTAACTGACTGTACAAGGTAAATGGTGACAGATAAAGGCAGAAGTCTTAACAGAATCTGGAAAAGTTTCATGGAGGAAGGGACATTTAAACTGAGCTCTGCAAGTTGCACAGCATTTGGAAGTCTAAGCCTGTGGGTGATACGGGGCAGAGGGACAATTAAGCAGCAGGGCTAGCATAATCAAACAAGGACATTTTAAAGTGGCCTGCCAGTTGCTATGAGTGTAAATATCTGCTGAAATTTAACAAGCCAAAACAAACATGAAATAGCCCTATAGAAAAGACTTCCTCAGAGACAGCTTAGCCCAGGCAAAAAGTATATTTTTATAATAAACTTATATCGGTAATTGGCAAGTTATCCATCACAGAAATCTACCACTAGTGGCAAGTTGAAACTAATGAGAAATGAACAGTGACTGTAAGTAACATGGCAATATGCGCCTTCAAAAAGGAGGGACTCGCTGATGATATTAAAATCATGGAATGGGAAGTTTCCGTATAGCATGATTTTTTTCTTATTTAGAGAAAAAAAGGGTAGAATACAGAATTTTAAAAAAAAAGTAATAGATCACTAGCTGATAAATTACATATTGTTACCTTGGAAGTAGTTGCTCAAGTCACAAAATCAAAGCATAAAAAGTAGACAATCAAACAATGCCAGTACAAATCATTCTGTTTGATGAACTAACAAAAACTTAGTAGTACGGTTATCTATCTTGCATACTTATACATACAGTTATATCCCTTAGAGTCCTTTGTTTCCCTTTCATATCACAATATCCCTTATGGCATGATTTATATGTAAAGTAATCCAGAGGTCTGAATGTAGACAAGTGGGTAACATAAGTTTTGTTGCAGATCTTTGAGGTAATACTGTGAAACATTTTAATTTTTTAACAGACATTAAAGTGTGTGTGTGTGTGTGTGTGTGTGTGTGGCTGTGGACCAACCTGCAAGGCCTCACACATTTTAGGCAAACACTACCATTGAACTGTTATCTCCAGTCCTATAGCATAACTAAAAAAAAAATGTTACAGTACCTAGCAGTATTTATATAGTTTGTAAAAGGACTACAAAGATAATGCCTCATTATCTTTGAAGCATTATTATATGTTGAGTTTTTCTTGTTCTAAGAGCTAGGAATATAGTGAGGAACAGGAATAGAACTTCTATTTTTATGGAGTTTGTGGGGTGGTGATGTCAGATTATCACAGATACATGTATAACTTCAATTTCGTGAATGCTGTCGAGTAAAGAAAAAGGAATGCAGTGCTGAATAGTGGGTTGTGGTGGGGCCATGAGATGCAGTGAAGCTTTTCCTGAGGCAGTGATGTTTGAGGTAAGATTTGCAGGGAGAGTAAGTACCAGCTATCTTAAAGGAGGGAAGGGAATATTGGTGCCAGGGAGATAGAATGTGCTAAGCCCCTGTGGTTGGAGAGTGCATGGAAATGAAATATAGACAGTGTGGCTGAGTGTTTGTAGATGTGAGTGATAGATAGCACAGTGCAACGTGAGAAGCTTTACTTTTTTTTTTTTTATTTCCCTTCTGACCATATAGTGTTTTTATAGTAAGCAGTCATTTAACATGTGATACTGTATATGCAGGTGGCTGTTATTTTAATGTGTTGTAGATCTAGTCATGTATAGGTATACATTAAGGAAATAAGATTAACTTATTTTGGAATTATAGGAGGACTAATGTATTATTTATTAACTAGAGTTACAGAGCATTTTTCATACAGTAAGCTTAGACAATTATTGTAGCTGAGCAGTTTATAGCTCAGTATTGAAAACAGTCAAAACACCTGGCCCTGCAGACAGTACAGAATAACCCTTTGTGCTTGTACTTTTTTCAAGCATTACGTTTGATAAGAAGAAGCTGCAGTAATTAGGCAGCTCTTAAAGGTGTGTTTGTAGAGCCCACGGTAATTATTCAATGTTATTTTTGGGTGCTGGGAATAGAACCGAAGGCCTCATGCATGACAAATGCTCTACCACTGAGCTATACACCCAGTCCCATCGTAAGTAAATTTTCCACAGAGAACAAGATATTAGTGCTTAGAAGATTTTCTTATTTTTATTTGCAGGTTACAGGAGGTTCCAGTGGCATTGGAAAATGCATTGCTATTGAGTGTTACAAACAAGGGGCATTTATTACTCTGGTTGCACGAAATGAGGTAAGTCTTATAGGTTTATTATTACTGATATACTTCTTAAATTTTATTCAAAGTGGCTGGACTAAAATGTGGTTTGCACCTGTGCTGGGGCGTGTTCACATCACTGATTTGGGATGTGATTCCTGATCTACTGTTTCTTTCTTGTATTTAGGCCAAGGACTTCTCTGTTGATCAACATACTTCATATATATTTAGTGCTATTAATCTATCAGTATCATCAGTGACATTCCAGATCTTGAGATAAGAGAGGTAAATAACACACCTGGCCATGGGAAGCCAGATGTGCTGGCAGCAGCAATTCTGAAGCTGCTTTCTAAAAGTGTTTCTTGTTCTGGAGCTGATAGGTGTAGACGTGTGCCTATAGTTACTCTTTCCAAATTATTTGTAATATGTTATGTGTGTGTAGTGAAATCTGTATAGCACAGAGGAACCCTATCCCTTCTGACATGTTTAGGAAAACTCATTGTTCTCTGTAAAGTCCAGGCAGAATCTGTTTTTCCCTTTCTTGCTGGATCTGTATTTCATGTCAAACTTGTTTTCAGAGCACAGAGCAGTGGCACTGTGTGCACATGAACAGTCATGAAGTACTCTTGTACCATGAGAGGGCCGGTGGTGGTGCCCATAGCTGTTGTCCACTGCTGTTGATAGTGTGTACTGCTCCAGGCACATCTGTTGAAAGAAGAAATTAAGAAGGAATGCTGGAGAGGTGCCAATGTGGCATCATGGTGTGGGAATTAACTCCCTAGGTCAGGTGTGGTCAGATGACTGGAGACCATTGAGAAGGGCAGGTCACAGTGAGCCTGAGGGGGAACGTATTAAAGTAATGACTTAGAATTAGTCTTCGACATCAATAATTTCTTTGAAAAAACAGGAAAGGCAGAATTAGCTTACTTTTCTGTTACATATATTTTGACTTCTCTAAGCGGTGATTTTTATCATGGTATTAAAGCTACCTTACGTGAATAAAAACACAGCTTTCATAAAGTGGTACTTAATATGTTTTTAACAATGCTAATATTTGCCAGAAGACGCATGAAAGAGTAAATAAGAGTGACCAGAATTATAGGTGTCAGGAAGTCTCACTGAGGTCCTTATATTACTATGTGGACTGTAATTGAACGCACAGAATGGCCTCCTGGCGCCAAGAACTTCTTTAGTTTCTAGTGTTAGTTTTCATCCTACTCTTGGTGAAATAATGTCATGGATAGATAGATAGATAGATAGATAGATAGATATCTTGTTTAATTGAACAATATTATTTTACTGTAGACACATTCATAACTGGAAATCTCTTATATCCTTTGAAAGACTTCTCCCCTTTGTTCTGCTCTAGTTCTCATGATTATTTTTCTAGTTCTCTAGTTACTTTTGTGCAAATTAAGATTCTGCAAAATGATGTCTATTTTCTTGAAAGTAAACAAAATAAACAAAATTTATACTTGAAAAGAATTGCTCAATTATATGGGTAAGTTTACTGGTCTTAACAGTATTTTTGAAAATAGCGAGGTGTAGGTTTACCTAACCCATGTAAAAAAAAATTTTTTTTTGCTTTTGTAGTAGAGAAGGAAAATACTGGACGTCTTAAAAATTGTTCATAATGTGGAGTCACATGTGCTTTCCAGCTTTATGAAGCATTTTGTATTAGTGTGATTGCTCTTATTATATCACTGCTAAATAATGTCAGATCAAAACATTTGTTAGAATTGATAGAGTGACCATCACAGTTCATACTGTTAATTGGAACTTTGATGTTCACTTTTCTATTATCTTTCTGTGCAATAAACTTAAAAACTTGCTGTCACTTAGCTTAATATGTTTTACTTCTTTCATGAATGGTGGCCCATAGCTACTCAATATAGATACTGTTTTGGGTATTTGTAGAATTTAATAAATTTTTATATAGCAGTTTTTTTTTTTTTCCCCTCTCCTTTTCAGCAAATAAGCAGACAGGCATATGACAATCACTAAATCTAATTGTTTTCTGTTGCTTTCAGGAGAAGCTGCTTCAGGCAAAGAAAGAAATTGAAAAGTACTCCATTAATGACAAACAGGTAAAGTGCTGTCTTTAGGATGCGTTTTCCTGTAGTAAAAAGAAGAAAAGCATTACTTTAGCACTGTGCAGAGGTCATTGAAAGCATATATGGTTTTTCTGATTAAAATGCGTTAGATTTTTTTTTAAAGGTGAAATTGAACTGGTAAAGAATTCAGGTTATTATCATGCGTGCCTGAAATCCCAGCAACTTGGGAGGCCGAGGCAAGAGGCTCAGAAGGTCTAGGCCAGCCGAGGCAATAAAAAAAATATGGGCTTAAGAAATAGGTTGGGGTAGAGCTCCTGGGTTTGATGTTCAGTACTGAAAAAAAAAATCTTCTTAGTGAAAAGAATTGCTTTTAATTTTTAAAGAATAGTTTTAACACATGTATACTTCAGATCTTTATTTTTGTTCCTTTTTAATAGGTGGTGCTTTGTATCTCCGTTGATGTATCTGAAGATTATAACCAAGTAGAAAATGTTATAAAACAGGTAAGAGATTGGGCAGATTGAATTTTAATGTACTTGATTTGTTATCATTTTGCCTTGTGACTTAGAACTGACCAGTCTTCTCTGTAGGTTTTGTGGTTCATAGATTTTATTTATCAATCTGGGCTTATTGCTCAATGATTCTTCTCTCTCCTAATACTCAATCTGATCCATTTTTCTAGGCACAGGAGAAACTGGGTCCAGTGGACATGCTTGTCAACTGTGCAGGTCTGGCATTGGCAGGAAAATTTGAAGATCTTGAAGTTAGTACTTTTGAAGTAAGTAAAAATGTTTGCTCACTGTGTAACCCTTATACAAAAAGTGGAACAAGTTTTAAGTAAAGACTTTAAGAAAGAGATAGATGAGTGTATTTGGGTGTTCCCAGAAGCTTGAGAAGACAAGAGGAAGGTTGATGAGTCTTTGTTCCCAGGGCCACAGCTGTCTGACTTTACGCACATAAACAGATTTTCTGAACCTCATCTATAAAATGAAAAATAAAACAATTAATGTGGTATAGATTACTACAGCAGTTCACTGAAGCCCCGTCTTTAAGACAGCGCTTTGTAAACCCAGAGAAGTTGGATGTTCAAGTGTCAGTATTATTTTTTTTAATTATTTTTTTAATCATGCATGCTAGGCAAGTACTCTACCACTGAGCTAAATCCCCTTCCCCTTTAAAAATACATTTTGAGGGGCTGGGGATTTAGCTCAGCGGCGTAAGCGCCTGCCTCGCAAGCAGGCAGTCGTGAGTTTGATCCCTGGTACCGATAAAAACGAAAAAGACAAAAAACAAAAACAAAAACAAAAAAAAACCATTTTGAGTCAGGATCTCATTAAATTGCCAGGGCTGGTTTTCATACTTGCAATCTTTCTGCCTCAGCTTCCTGAGTAGCTGAGAATACTGGAGTAGATCAGTATTACCAACTGTGGAGACACTAAAAAATTTGAAGAACATCCTTGTTAGAGTTCCTAATCAAGATAAGAAGATGATACGTTTTATTCAAGCTTTAAACATTTTTTCCAAGGAATAAACCTCTTAGTAATTTACTTTAAAGAAATGGGCATTACACTGGAAATCTTTTTTTGAGTGCAAAATATTTTATAGTTGACAACGCATCCACCCATCCGTTACTGGTCTTTCAGATTTCATTTCATAAAGGTAAGGGTTTTGAATGCTTGATTCTGAATTTGAATTGCGTTCCCTTTTTATACAACAGGAGACCTCTGAACCAGTGTTGCAGCTGTTCTGCTTCTATTAGGCCGTGGGAAAGAACCATAAACTCTGGGATTTACTTAAGGGAAACAGGAAAGTCAGAGTGTAGATAGAAGCAGAATGGTGGGATGTGAATGTCTTAAGGCTTCTTTATCAACTCAGCATAATAGAGCGTTGTTTAGACTTGTACACCTTCATCTGGAAGGAATGGGAAGGAGATTGGAAGATAACATCTACAGCTGTGTAAAGAATCAATTTGGGAAAGTAGTTGTTCAAGTCTGTGTGTGAAGTGATAAAGCAAAGGTTTGGGAGGAAGGGCAAGAAGAGTAGGTGTGCGTGTGTGTGTTCTGAAGTATGTGTGTGTAAGATGATGTGGACTGAGATTCTGCAGGCTCACCTTGACTGAATGGGAGGCAAAGAATGGGTTGAGGAGTGTACTTTGCATGACTGAGATAAATAAATGCAAAGTTCAGAAGCTGGGACCCCAGAAAGTGGGGTGTGTGGGTCTGGGACAGCAGGAGTGGGGATCATGTAACACTGACTCATGACAGTTCCAAGACAATGCAGTGAATGTTTTGTGGAGATGTATGTTGTATAGAAAAAACTGAGGAGTATGTTTGTAGTTGTCAGTGACAAGGAGAAATGTGAAGTGTGTGTTGTTCCAGCCCACTGCTGGAGGAAATAGGCACGTCCCAAATACCTCCACTGGGAAATGAGTCCTGGAAACTTAACCCGGCTTCTTCTGGACTCTGCACCGTGTTATCTTTTCTCTCTGCTGATCTTGGGCATATCCTTACCGTGTAATCTTAGTCGTGATTGAGAATTTATGTTGAGGACTTTGAGACCTAGTGAGGCACTAAACCTGGGGAACTTGGGCTTACTTTTTTTACTTTTCTAAGTGTTTCACATGGTTTCTTAGTGATGTGTCCATCAGAAGCCTACAGGTGGTGTTATTTAAATTTTTTTCTGTCCTCTCATGTCTCTGTTTTTGAGGCTGGTGCCTCTGTTTTGGGTTGAGGCTTTGCTTGGATGTGTGGCAAGCCATGGTTATTTTTGGGGTTTTTTGTTTGTTTGTTTTGTTTTGCTTTTTGGTACTGGGGATTGAACCTCACCACCTTGTGCTTGTCAGGCAGGCACTTACACTGCTGATCTAAGTCCTCGGCCCCCGTGGATATATTTGTACTTTAAGAGGTAGGCATAAATTGCTGGTAGGAGTTCTTCACAGTAGGTAGATCTGTTTGGTAATGGGTTCTCTATAGAATGACAGTTTGGGACATATCTTGGGGGTGGAGTTCCAGTGTCAGCATCTGTAGACCTTTTCTTAGGTTGATCAGAAGATCGTGAGAGGAGTCTTTGCCGCCTCCTGGAAAATATATGCCTGACAGTAAGGTGAGAAGAGTGAAATTGGCAAAGAGTTGGAATCTCCATATTCAGTGTAGAGACAATTTTTCATTAAACTTTGCTTTATGTAGACTGATGTTTCTTCAGAACTAAACTTCTGCCACACGGAAGAGGGACCCACATTTTCCTGGTGAAGAAAGGGAAGTCCTATAGGATGTGACTGCTTGGTGTTTTGTTTTGTTTTGTTTTGTGTTTGGTCATTGTTCTACATCAGTTTTTTAAAGCAAGATAAAATTCATAGAAAATTAGCCATGTTATTTTTTTAAAATTTGTTTATGGATTTTTTTTTGTTTATTTATTTTTTTTATTTTTAGACAAGGTCTTAATCCTCCTGCATCAATTTCCTAAGTGCTGGGATTGTAAGCACATGCTGCTATGCCCAGAAAAACTAGCCATTTTAAAGGAAACAGTTCAGAAGCATTTAGTACATGGATGTGTTGTGTAATTGTCATTTCTATCTAATTCACCTTCATCACTCCAGAAGGAAAGTATGCATCTCTTAGGCAGTTGCACCCCACTCTCCTGGACTGCTCTCCTAGCCCGTCACCACCACTATTCTGTACCCCCAGTTTTGGATATTACCTGTAAGTGGCATCATATGATATGTGTCCCTTCGTGCCTGGCTTCTCTTATTTAGCATAAAGTTTTGATGTTCATTCCTGTTGTACCATGGATTGATGCCATTCCTTATCATAGGTTAACACCACTCTAATTGTGTGGATAATCCCACCTTGTGTTTATTCATTGTGGGTGGACCTTAGGCTGTCTCCACCTGAGTGCCTTGTATGCAGACTCTGAATGCAAACTCCTGTCTTTCAGCCCTGTGCCTCCCACCTCTATCCCACCCCAAGGTGCTTGGTGCTATTTGAACCTTCTGTGGTATAATCTTGCTTTTTAGAGCCTCTGCTGTCACTTAGCATTCAGTTTTCTGTGTTCTGCCAAGTTAGTTGTCATATGTCATTCTGTTTTTCAACTTACACAATGTTGTTGCTATTATTTTCATTTCTGTTATTTTTGTTTCATTTCTGTGAGTTTGTTCCAGTCAAAAACATCTTTTTACTGAGCTTTTAATGAGGTCTCTAATCAGAGCTGAGGTAGAGACAATGTGCTATCTTTTCTTCAGAAACTTTCCTTTTTGAACATTTTTCTTACCAAAACTATATAAGGATATTAAAACATATTTTGGGGGAAAGATGGGAAAATTAATGTTAAGTAAACAGTGATGACCCAGTGAAAAAGTGCAGCCAGCCTGAGTTTGGAGATTCTGAGCTAGACCTTTTGGAGTAATTGTAAGGGAAAGTCTGAGTAGCTTGTTGAGCTGGGTTTTTATGGATGGGATTAGCGGGGTAGGAGACAGGGGCTGAGTGAAGCTAGACTAGCAGAGTAACAGCTGTTACATTGGCCGGGTTCTGTTGTACAAGGTGTGCCATGAATAATAGCACAGGTGCGAGGCAACAGGATGTGGGAGTATTGTTTTTTTGGGCTCAGGTGGCTGGGAACACTCATTCTAGGAACTCAGGCAACTGAGGGCACTTGGGGATCAGACCTATTAACCAGCATCTTCAGCAATCACCATTTTTTGTATTTCTTAGATTCTGTATATGTGGCCTTTTATTTAATAGTTAAAATACTTGTACTCACAGTCAAAATATCACATAAGACTTAATGTAAAAACATTTAAATGCAGGCATTCTTAGGTTCTTAAGTTCAAAAATTTAAGATTCTAATGTTTTAAGAGTTGGTAGTTGAAGAAAACATATATTAGTGCCTGAATAAGTTCTTATAGTAATACAGTGATACCTTGGTTCATACTTGCTTATGAATAATTTGGTTCACAGACAGAAGCATTTGGCAAATTGTGTTTTTGTTTGCAGACTCTGCATTGGGTTACAAATGCAACAATGGCCAGAATATGAACATTGCCATCTTTTCCAGAATCATGGAACAAATTAAGTTTGTAAACCCAGGAACCAATGTATGAGACCCAAATGTACTGAGTGCTTTGTGTGGTATGCTGGCTCTTAACTTGTATCTTCTCTTTGCACCCTGCAGTCATATTCTGAGGTCATTTTAAGGTTAACTTTGTTTTCAGCTGAGAAAATGAGTAATGTCTGACTTTCTGATTCATCATCCAGTAGGAAGTATATGGCACATCCAAAGCGTCGAACCAAAGGGCTGGAAATACTTAGGAGCTCTTTCCTAAAACTGTCTTCCAAAAGGATTACTAGCAACATGCGGTACTCTTTTTATATGGAGAAAACTAATTTTAACTAGCTTTCAGCACAGATATTACTGCTGTCATAGTGAGAATTCAAGACTAGATTGAAATAGGTTGTAAATATCATGCCTTATTGTATGCAGCTTCATTTATTCATTCATTCATTCAACAAATCTAATCACTGGGCCTTCCACTGAAGAATTTAAATTTGAAAAGCAGACAGAATTCTCATGGAGAATTTTAAGGGGGCTGTTAAAATTTTGACCTTCTTGCAACTTCATGTGGTTTCTTTGTTCCCTGCAGAAATTAATGAACGTCAATTTCCTGGGTAGTGTGTACCCAAGTCGAGCTGTGATCACTACCATGATGGAGCGACGGGTGGGCAGGATTGTGTTTGTATCCTCCCAGGCAGGACAGCTGGGATTATTCGGATACACGGCCTACTCTTCATCAAAGTTTGCCATAAGGGGATTGGCAGAAGCTTTGCAGATGGAGGTAAAAATTGTATTTGTGTTTGTATGTTTTCTCTTGAACTCAGCAGTGTATGAGCTTTTTAGTTTTCTAACTTCTTTATACATGTTATTGCATTAAATTAGATGTGTCGATTTAACATTAATGAAAGAAAATGAGTTAAGCCCAGATTTTGCGTTTAACAATTTCTATTGCATGAGAATTATACTATGACAGAAACAGGGTGGTTATGGGGGTTTGCCTGATTAATACATGAATTGCTTGTAATATCTTCGTGATACTGTTGATCTAATACTTTTGTGAGTGTATGTGTGAGGTTAATCAGATATTTTATTCTGTAGAGATCTTCTTTAACAAAAAGACCTGCCCTTATGGTGAATAATAAAATCAGTATATGTTTAAAGAAAAGAGCTAAAAAGAAAAGAAAAGAAAGGAAGAGCTAGAAAGGGATATTCTAGCTTTTAGAGAAATAATTTATTTTGTTCTCATCTGTAGAGAGAGCTAGAATAAAAGCATCATTTGGCTCTCTGAATACTTACGTTTTTTTTGTGTCTTAATGTTTAAGAAAGTGAATGCTTTTTATTTTCAAGGTAAATAGAACATTTCGGAGAAGAAGAATGTAGTTAGGATTGTCTTGAAAATAAATGTCATATTGTAAACACCCTCACTCACACCTCAGCCGCGTGCGTAGAGTTTTGCAGTGTTGTCACATGGGAGTGCTTAGAGAGCCTTATGTGTGTATCTATCCATAATTGCATGCTGAACAAGGCAGGGTAAAATTAATTCTATTGCGGTATACATTGAAATATAATATTGCATCATGATGTTGAAAGTTCAGAAGAGAATTTGTTGCAGATAGCTTCTTATAAGTATTTAGAATATTGGTTAATAGTTTAGATTAGGGGTCAGCAAATTAAAACAAAATTTTTTGACAAGTGGCCAGGTGGTAAATATTTTAACCTTTTGAGGGCCAGATGATGTCTGTTACAGCTCGTGAAGTCTGTTGTGGTAGCAGGAAAGCAGCTATAGTAGATCACATATAAACAAACAGATATAAGTGTTCCAATAAAACTTTATTTATAAAAGCAGGCAGAGCCAGATTTGGTTCACAGGCTATAGTTTGCCAACCTGTCACATCCCAGATTTTGAGCGAGGTTTGGGGCAGTGACTGTGTCCCAGTGATCCACTTAAAGATTAACAAACTGTACTGTTCTATCAAAGTAAGCAGTCACAGAGTTCATTGTTAGCACTTGGCTTAATACTGTTTCTTGTTTTTTTTTTTTTTTTGGAGACCTGGTCCCTCTACGTAGGTCAGGCTGACCTTGAACACATTTGTAGCCTAGGTTGATCTCAAAATTGAGACAGTCCTCCTGCCTCAGTCTCCTGAGTGCTGAGGTAACAACTGTGCACCACCACACCCAGCTAATGTTCGTAGTAATAAAGCCTCACATGTATGCTCATACATATGCTTAATAAAAAGCATTATAACATATTTAGCTAATAGGGCACTCAGCTATGAAATTTCGAACAGTGATACTAATTATTCCTTTTGCAGTTGTTTTGAAAAGTCCCTTTGTGAGAAGCCACTTCGTTAATTTTAATCTTGCGAAATATGTGAGATGGGTGTCATTATGTCATCATATGGAGAGGAAACTGATCTGGTCAAAGTCTTATAGTTACTTAGTGACAGAATGATGAGGCCCAAGCCTCTGACTCTAAACCTTTGCCTCAGGTTGTAGGCTTGCAGCAGAGGATTTGGCTGTAAGGCAGAAGTAGCTTTACTCACTAGCTACCTGCGTCAGCCCTTCACTGAGGTCTTGAATCCATATAGGTGAAAAGGGTGTTTGGGAGATGAAAAAATCTACTCATCAGAGCTTTTCCCCTGAGTCTTGTTTTGCAGAGCTACATCATGACTCATTAATTTATGGCAAAGTGTAAAGTATGGGTGACCTGTTCGATTTCAGATGCTAGGATGGAGATGCTAATCCAGAAGAAGAGAAACCAATGAGTGATTAGTACTGTGTCCCCTCAGCTTCGGGGACGAGTGTGATTCACATGGTCTAGGAGGCTGGCCTGGAATCTCAGATCTGCTGACTTTTGTCAAACTTTGAACTCCATTAAAAATGTCCTTATTTAAACAAAAAATAAATATATGCCATGAAAACTAGGCTATTTTATCTGGGAAAATAATTTCAGTCTTTAAAATCTAATGTGTTCGTAGTAGAACTTATATGAAACCATTTATTTCTCTACAAATGGATAGTCAAGTGTTGCTGAAACGTGGATAATATAGTCATTTCTATGAATGAAACCAATATAATGGCTCAAAATCTAAATTTTTCATCACTAGCCATCTTCTTTAAGCTACCCCATCCCCCTGTACTAGGAATTGAATTCAGGTCTTTGTACTGGGCTGCATCACTATCCCTTATTTTTATTTTGTGACAGATTCAGGATTCAAACTTGTGATCCTCCTACCTCCGTCCCCTAGAGTGTTGGGTTTCAGGTGTGTGCCATCATGCCTGGCATACACTTTTGATAATCTTCTTGGTATAATAAGCTTTCAAGTGTTCCTTTTCCCCTCTGTTGCCCCTAAAGTACAACAGGATCCTAGAAATGTTATGGGTACAGTGAGTGATTTTGAAAGATTGCTTTGTTGGTGTGTGTGTGTGTGTGTGTGCGCCCGTGCATGCGCACACGCATGTCTTTTAAGCATAAATATAACACTGAAATATTTTAAAATTCTTCTGAGCCAGGTTATAGCCAAAGATGTGGTATCAGAGATTCAGGGGGAAAAAAAAAAACCCAAAAACAAAACAGTTGTTTTCTTTATTCTACCTGTCTTATCCCAGTCAAGCCCTGTCTCTTTCCCTGTCTTTTCCTACCATGGTCAGAAAAGAAGCTGAAACTTAACTTCTGAAGTTCCGTGCTAGTCTTCTCTCCAGCCCCTGTGTCTTTATTTAGACTGTATGAGGAACAGCACACCTTAGTTGGGTAATCCACATGATTAATTGGTTCTTGAGTGATCAGTTGAATTGCAGTTTGAGGTTGATGACAAGTGGGAAGATTGATGAAAAAGAAGCTAGGAGAAGAATGAGGCAGAGCAGGAGGACAGAGAATTGGCCATTCAGCAGAGACAGGAGCAGCAGGTGATCGGCCAGCTAAGCAGGGACTGCTTAGTGAAGAACCTGGCTTATGTACCCTTAGAAAAGCGGTGATGTCAGGTGTTACCAAGGGCCAGTGAAGCCAGACTACCCTCCTTTCCTTTTTTTGGAAGGACTGTGAGATTACTAGTTAAAGCAAGGTGTAAATACAGTTTAGTGTATTCAGATTTTAGCAATTTGTGTGACAAAGAATTTTAGAAGAGCAGAAGCTCTGTGCAGAGATTATATCTGCTTTGTTCATAACTGTATACATCATTCTTAGAACAACACTGGCACGTAATGGTTTAGTCAATAGGCGTTGTTACATAAATAAACTTAAAAAGGCCTGTGTAAGTGCTAAGTTACTGCACATTGGAGGCATTTGGCATGGTGATTGTAAAGAGAATACCAGCCCAGGATGGGATGGACTGTTTCCCTCAACCTATGGTCACACACTTGGGAAAAACAGTTTTGAAAAGCTCTGTTTTAAATGTTGGCCATTCACCCATAACTTTGACTTTAAGAAACACTGCTATGGAACACTGACATGCAGTGGCACAGGTACCCGGACCCTTTCTTCTTGTGGAGGAGGGACTCTGGCGGAGCAGCAGGCATCAGTCTGTGTGTGGACTGTCTCATTATCACTTGGCAGCTTGTTTGTGCTGTTTTTCTTTGGTCTGTGTGCAGTGCAAGACAAGGCTGGGAAAACTCATTTCCTTAAGTCTCATCTCAGAAAGAAATGGAAGGGAAATTGCTTGCTCATCAGTCTCCCCTGCTAGCCCCTGTCCATGCCATTTATGAGTGTAGCTACTCCGAGAGGCTGTGTGCCCTGCTGATGCCGAGGCCCTGGCTGCCTTGGAACAAAACCAACAGGAGTGTCTGTGTTTTGCTATGGTGTTTCCCAGCATGGCTCGCCAGGATCTTCTGCTCCTTTCTCCTGACCCTTACAACTCTCTCATACAGCTTTGGAACTGTGCTTTACGGGAAACTCCAAGCTGTTGTATTGTGTGTTGTCAGTTTTCGGTCTAACCTGAATTTACTCTCAGGATTTTCAGTAGTTGACCATACTGATTGCTGCCTTCACTTCCATATCTCCTGGATGTGTTCATGGGGCTCAAAAGTAAGGCAATAGCAAATAAAGATCATGGCATAGAAATCTGGAAGGCTTGAACTATGGCCCTGGAAGTTGGTAATTGTAAGGGCCAGATGAGCATCTGCTGCAGAGCTCTTTGGGGAGGGAATGTCGTCACTGACCAGCAGTACCACCCATGGGCCTTGCTGGGAATGTGTTTGGGAGTGAGGGAGTTAAATGCAAAGACGTGGGGTAAAGATAAACAGGTGTCAGAGGAACAAGATGGAGATTCAGATCAGATAGAGCAAGGAACTGAAACAAGCAGGGAAGGAGTTTCTTTATGTAAATAGTGATTGTAGCTGTCAGCAGAAGTGCTGCTTGGCTGGTCTGACTTGGAGTTCCACCCAGGATAAGAATGTTTTTGGCTGGTGTTGTGAGGGAAGAAGTGGCTCTTGACCCTCCTGATGGGCATGGCTTGGCTGTGCAGGACTTGAAAAACACTTCTCCTGGGATGGATGTAGTGCCAGACTTGGGTCTCAGAGGGCCATAAGGAGCCATAAGTATATAGGTGAAATTTATCAAAAGTAGAATATCAGAAACACATGTGCATTCTGGTAGGTAAGGAGTAGTCACCTTGCCAGCGCTTGGATGGTATGCAGAGTCTTAAGAGTGAGTGGACTGCTGTCCTCAGTGGACAGCTCCTGGGGCCCCGCCTGGTCATCAAGTCAGCTGTTGTGTGGCATAGAGGTCGGGAGAAGCCTTTTGCCGTCTTTTCTAAATCATCTCCATGAAGAGGGGTTTCCTGTGCATTTGGAGGTCATTTTCCACTTACAGAATCACCCCATTGACCTCACCACCTTCTGAGAATCAGGGCTTCCCAGGCAGGTTGGGGGTAGGACACACAGTTGTGCCTCTTGAACTGAAAGTGCAAACCTTGTGTCCCTGATGCAGGTGAAGCCGTACAACGTCTACGTCACAGTGGCCTACCCGCCAGACACGGACACCCCTGGGCTTGCCATGGAAAACAAAACAAAGGTCAGCCTTTTTCATGTTCATCCTTAGTCTTCAGTGTTGCAAAGCCCTCTCCTGGTTTTTCTTTTCTTTCTGTTCTGTTTAAGGCCCTTTGTCAATCACTGGTGTTTCTGGGTGTCTGATGGGCACCTGCAGACTTCTCTGAGGTCTCTGCATGAGTCATCCTTCCTCCCTTCCTTTCTTCCCCAACGCCCCTTTCTTACCGTTTAATTTAAACTTTGGTTCAGATCTATCAAGGTGTTCTGTCTGCCTCATCAGTTGCCCCACATCTGTTTTTTTTCCTCATTCTTCTCCAATCCCCAGAAGCAGCCATTTATTCAACCAATGTGTTTTTACTGCTATTACTTTTTTTTAGTTAAAGATTTAGAGATTATTTATTGAGACTGCTATGGAAGGTAAAATTGAAGACTCATCTATTCCCTACTTGCCTCTACTTCCCTTCTTCCTGTGTAATCTCAAATTAAATCAGATTCATTGTTTTTATTAATGGAACTTTATAAACATGATTCCCACCTGAGCTTTTCTATAGTGACATTCCTTTCCTTGTATCTTTATTTGCTTAACTTTGTATTTATCTGTGTGTTATTCAATCCCAGGTCAGACAGAACTGGCAGTGTCCTTTTAATCCGTTTGAACACAGGATTTTCTGTACGTTTGTTCCTTTCTCCTTAGAGGTGTTTCTCTGGGGGCCCTCTGCCTTCCTGGCCCACCTAGATCTGCCACTCGGCTTTGCTCATGACCCTTCTCTTTGCCACAGTACTGGAGTTTCCCTTTTCCTGTGTCGGATCCTGTGTTTTCCAGTTTTTTCACTTATCTGCCCACATTGGTAGAGCTCCAGTAATTTCCTGAGAAAGTGTACATTGGGGGTGCATTTATTTGGATCCTTTATGTCTGAAAAGGCCATTGTTTTCCCTTTATCCTGCTAATTTTTGTTTTGTTGGGTACAGAATTCTAGAATGGAAATCATGCCCCCTCAGATTTTTACAGGCATTTCTCCTTTAGCTTCTGGCTTCTGGTTTCTGTTGGTAACCCCATGCCAGCCCTGTGGATAGGACCTGTTTTGGGAAACGCTTTTTGTTCTATCTTTAATATATTTTGAGGCAAGGTGTTTTCATTTCATAAGTTGGATGCTTACATGAGCCCTTTCATTCTGTCAACTCATGAACTTTAGTTCTGGAATATTTTATACTACTTTTTTGATAATTTGTTTCCATACAAAGTATTTCAAGTGTTCTTCCTGGAGCTTCTCTTACTCACAATGTTGGATTTTCTGGGCTCAACCTCTTACTTTCTTCTGTTTATTTTCCTCGTGCTCCAACTTTGCAGTTGAAATTTTTATTTCTGCTCAAATATATAAAAATTTGAAACTCTTTTCTCTGCATATCCCTTCATTCATGGGTTTTATATTTTATTTCTAAACATATTCATTCTAGGAGTTTGGTGTTTGTTTTGTTATGGTGCTGATGTTTTAGTTTTTTTTTTTTTTTTTTTTTTTTTTTGACAGCAGACGTTTTTGTTCATTAAGCACTACACATAAGCACTTCACATATACGGTGGCGTGGTGTCTCAGCTCCCCTGTGCAAACTAACAGATGAATCCCAGTTAGCCATCATACATTGTCAGGTCATGGCTATTCTTGTTTTAAGGTTTTAGGCAGGTAACTGTAGTACAGCAATATAAATACTGATTTTCTAGATTTCATAACTGCTAAGAAGAGTTAGGCCTACCGAGGCCAATTTTAAAGTGCATATTAGAGAATAGTAAATTCTTCAGAAGCTTCAGCCCCTTAATATCACAGGTTAGTGATTTTACAAATTTATAAACACTAAATTAATAAACAATATAAAAATTTTGAAGAGGTATTTAGTTTCTTACAGGTTTCTTCAGTGAACACTGACATGTTCTTCATCTGAGATGAATTAGAAAGAACATCCATGTCTTCTAATTTAGAAGAGCATTGTGGTTTGGAATTGGCATCAAATTCATTCTGCAATATAGGTGCTTTCCGGCTGCTCTGAGAAAGCTCTGGGAGAGAAAATATGCTACATCTATCCATTTGAAGCATCTTTTTTGCCTTTTCCTCCTCTTTTGCTCTCATGTCAGAATTTCAGTTTGTTATTTAGGCTCTGAACATTCCTAGTTACTGACTCTGTAGCCTGTACTGTTTTATCTGTTTCTTGTGCAGTCAAGCCAGACCTTCTTCATTAGCTCTGTCCCGTGCTGTTTCTATGTTCAGAAGACTTGACACGTTAAATATTTCAGTTGTTCAGGAGGCACTTGGGTTTTACACAGTTGTAGCAACCTTTTCTTCTGGCAGGTAAGATGATACTGCATTATTTCTTTTTCTGTATTACTCCAACTTGCTATTACCACTTCGCAAATGCTCTCTTGTACTGTTTAAAAAAGGTTTCCAGGTATCTCTTGTTGAATGCTGTCTGTATCTGTCTTAGATTAATATGATCTGTTTGCCTTCAGAAGACACTGTCTTTGGTTGAATTTTACTTTTCCTCCTATTTCTAACCTCTGTCTCAGACAGATCCATTTCATCATCAGTTTTTCTTTTTGATTTTTTTTTAATTGTTGAGGTTTTTTGGGGGAAGCATTTGCTTTATCAGGCATCTTGATCTAAATAGTAAATATGGTGCTTTAAAAAAAACGAATTCCGTCTTAGGCTCCCAGAAAGCTGGGATTCCGGCAGTGTGCCACCATGCCCAGCTACAGATTTCTTAAGTAGAGGTAGGTCCTAGGTCCCTTGTCTTATATCCTGGGAGATTCCACAGTTCAAACAACTGGTGGAAGTGACACTGTCCAAATTAAGTAGCCCAAAATGGAAGAGATGGGCAGGTTTAACTTCCCCTTGCTTGCAAACACCTGCTCTTGGAACCCAGTCATTACCATAGTGTGAAAGCCAACATGGACAGGATCAATGGATTCTTCTTGAATTCATCAGACAGCTGCGCTCAGAGGAATTCATCCCCAACCTTTTGTTTTAATTTTCTGTATCCTGTATTTATCATTTTCAGGGTTTTTTTTTTTTTCTCTGTTGTTGTTTATACCTTCCTCACATGTCTGGTGTTCCTTGTTTAGCTGCTTCTGAGTGAGGTACTGAATGCTGGCTGTAAAGCCCTGGCTTCTCAGCTTTCTCGTTATTAGAGGGTGATCAGAAGGGGAAGTGACCATTTCAGCAGGAAATTCCCTTACGTCAGCATCTGCTCACCTTTCCTCAGGGCTGGATCAGTTTCCCCAGTGAGGAATTGTGTGTTCCCTGCCTTTGGGAGAGTAAGAACAGCTCTGCATTGTGGGGCCCACGCATGGCAGGAAGTCTGGCGAGCTCACCGTTCGGTTCCAAACCCTGCCTCAGATTTCTGTTTGTAGCAGTGCTCCTTATAGCTGCTCTACATGGTAGCCCATGTCCTAAAATTAAGAGTTTCTGATTGGTAAACAGCTAATCTTTTGTCCCTGCAAGGGAGGTGACTTGGAGTCTCAGTGGAGAAAAGGAATTGATCAGAATTACTCATTTAATTGAGGATAATTTTAGTTTCAGAAATTTTTTTAGACTTTTCTTTTTCTTTTCTTTTTTTTTTTTTTTTTTTTTTTTTGTCTTTTTCCTTTTTATCGGTACCAGGGATCAAACTCACGCCTGCCTGCTTGCAAGGCAGGCGCTTATGTCGCTGAGCTAAATCCCCAGCCCCTTAGACTTTTCTTTTTTATAGTAATACTTATTGTGATCCCCCATACCATAAAAATTGACACTTCTATTCCATGGACCATATATTTACAAAGTTTTAAAAAAAGATGTTTATGGTTTAGAAGCTTTTTTTTTTTCTGTTCTTTTTTTCTTTGACACTGCATTTTAGAACATTACTATTGTTATGAAGAAATAAATTTAAGACAAACCTCCTGCCTTAATCAGGACAGATATCCTAGGAAGATTTGTAGCATTTGGCATTCTTGAAATATTTGGTATAGTTGGGTTAAAGCCAAAGCAGACAAAGAGTAGTGATTCGGTTTTGAGGTTAAGTTGGATTTTTTTTACCTCTGGAAAAATTTTGGCAAACTTTTCTCTGGAAAGTTAAATTCTGTGTTGATTTGTGGGCCCATTAGGGGGCGACATAGTACTTTTAATCTCATGTGCATCTTGCTTGACCATTCCAACCTGGTGGTCTGGCAGAATGAACAGGCCCCATCAAACAGGCTTTTCTGTTTCCTGAAGTTCATCAAGCAATATTTGACTGTAATGAATGGCTTTGCTTTTCTATTTTAAGAAAATGTACTCTAGTTATTGTTTTTGGCAGTACTAGGTATTGAACCCCGGATGTCATGCTTGCTAGGTAAGCACTCTCACTGAGCTGCGTCCCCATCCTTTCCTTTAAAGAAAAAATTATTTTGACAGAGGTTCTCAGTAAGCCCAGCCTGGTCTGGAGCTTGTGATTTTTCTGCCTCAGCTTCTTGAATAGCTGGGATTATAGGCACTCACCATGCCTATCTCTAGTCAGTTTTTGTCTTTCCAAACCTATGTATAAACAGAATTTACAGTACACTGAAGTTAAAGGTTTTCATTTGAAAGTCCCTTTTTAAGAACTTTTAAGCACAAGTGTGCAAAGGGCCACAGAGAACAATAAAAGAGAAATGAGAGAAAAAAGATCCTGCTTGCAAGAAATTTTGCAGGTGAAATTTAAATACAGGGGGGCTGGGGATTTAGCTCAGCGGCATAAGCGCCTGCCTTGCAAGCAGGCAGTCGTGAGTTCGATCCCTGGTACCGATAAAAACAAAAAAGACAAAAAAAAAAAAAAAAAGAAATTTAAATACAGAAGTAGAAGTGATCTATATTAAGGCAGAAATCTTCAAAGAAGAGAAAGATTGATTATTGCAAATCAAGATTTCAGAAAGGCATGCTGAACTAGGTGAGTTGAGATAACCTTTGAACACATGTTGAAGAATAAAAGGCCCAGATTTGGGGTTGAGTCCAGCCCTGTAACCAGCATGCAGTGAACTATAGGCCATTTGGGGATTGCTCCTTAGAGGCTCAGCTTTTAGAGCCTGTCCATGCTACTCCTGTGGTCTTTTAAGAAACTGCGGCAGTTGCTGACCATGGGTTGGTTTGAGACCACCCCTGCTCAGCACCTTAGCTCTGTCGCCAGGCATCAATCATCTGCTGATGGGAGTCAAACATAGGTGTTGTCCCGGGAGTAGAGTTGCTCAGGACGCAGGGTCTGGCCTTTGGCTGCACACCGATAGGTCAGGTGTCTGACTAGCAGTGAGGAATCCAAAAGGATCCTTCTTGACCTGGTACCCAGTGACGCATTCTCACTCCAGCTTTGATGGTTTTCATTGAGGCCGAGACCACACATGTGCTACAGAGAACAGCAAGGGCTTTCTTATGTTCCTTTAGCCTCTGGACTGACTATTCCAGTTACCAGCTAGATAGAAGGTGACGGTGGAACTAAGGTCTAAAAACAGGAATCTGTTTGAATGTAGAAATTGGGACTTTATGACTCAAGAGGTTATAGGAATTATTTTTAATGCAGTGGAGAATGATGGCATTGATATGTGCTTTATTTTCCACTTCTAGCCTTTGGAGACTCGACTTATTTCAGAGACCACAAGTATTTGCAAACCAGAACAGGTGGCCAAACAAATTGTTAAAGATGCCATAGTAAGTAAAATCCTTGTTTTGTTTTCTGTACTATTTGCCATTATGCTGTATTTCTGAAAAGGTATTTCTTTAAGACCTGCTTCATAACAAAAATTACTATAATTTTCTGGATCAGATTTATCATATCTAATAGACTCTTCTTCCTTTAGACACACTTTTATTGATTCTGTATTGATAGTAGGTTCCTAGAAACTAAGTATGTATCTTAATCTTAGGAACAGATTTATCAATATGGATAATTGGAACTTCAGTTCTTAAAGAAGGAAATAAGATTTAGCTGTGAAGTGTCAGCAGTATAACTATATAAGGTTTATTGTCTTTTTTCTGACAGTATTTTAACTTTATTGCCTTACCGACTACGGGTTTTTTTCCCCCCTTTCTGCCTCCAAGTATCATTTTCCCAGAGTTAACTAAAGAAAGTGCAGCTGGCCTGTGGAGCCCATCATCCCGGCATCCTGGCGTCCTGATATGCTTTTGGGAATCACCAGTGGGATCTTTTGGAATCCAAGGGCTGTTTTGTAGCACAGAGTATGTGCCACATGCCTTTGGACAGCAATGCTGTTAACTCACATGGCAGAAAAATGTACTTTTCTGTGGGATGTCTGAGAACCAAAAGCCCACACTGACCTTGGAATATCATTAGGATCGTTGGAATGAGAAGCATCAGGGCCTTGTGATACAGTCTCAAAATAGTACACATATGAATATGAGAGGATGAGCCGAGCAGAATCCAGAAAATAACAACCTTTATTAAAATATTTTCTGAGATGAACAACTCTGTTCCAGTTGCCTTAAGCATAAGACAGATGGCACAGGTGTGATTTGTTTTTCCTGCTTATTTTCAGTCAAAACCTGGGTTTTTAAGGATCCGAAATAGCTCTTCTAATTTTGACAGAATTCATTTTGTGTGGTGGTCTGCAAACTTTTTCTTCTCTTGAGAACTGTACATTTATTGACAACCTTGGAGAACTTCTGTTTCCCTGGGTTATGTTTATTGATATTTACCTTATAGGAATTTGAAACTGTAATTTTAAAAATATTTACTTATAATTCAAGAGAATAAGTCTTATAAAACAAGAATAAGTATTACATTTCAATTGATTTTTTTTTACAAAAATAATTATTTTTCAAAGCAAGAATTCAGTAAAAAGAGTGGTATTATTTCATGTTTTCATCAGTTGCTTTAATGTCCTCATAAAAATCCTTAATGATTTTAGGTGGATTTTCATCCACTCCTGTGGTCATTTTGATGTCCTATGTTGCTTTGACTGGAGCAAATGAAGAAAATTTGACGCCATTCAGATACGTAATTGGATAAGGCAAAAGTATTTTACTAGGCTTTTCAGATAGTTGTGGAGAGAATTTTCTTTTTTGATATTAAACCTAAACTCAAAGAATTGTAGTTCCTTAAAGGTTAGTTACAACATGAAGTTGGAAACCACATCAATGAACTTTTGTTCTCTATGGCATTAAGATCCATCTGTTTCTCTCACACTTTGAATGGATCCTTTACCCATTCATGATTTTATAACATGCATTAGTCATTTGGAAAATATGTGTTCACTGAGTTATCAAAAAAAAATCACATTCATCAAGATCATTGCTGATCTTACCATGAAAATATGTTTTCGGCAGCCAGTAGTCTCACAAGGGTAGATGCAAGTTTTCAAAAATCTTAATTTTACCTTGAGAGCTGAGATTTTTAACATCACCTACAAATGCATCAAGTTGTCTTTCTCTAAGTGACAGGCTTACTTCGTTTTCTGCAAGTCTGAATAAGTTTAGTTTCTTTGTCAATGGTTCTTTCCTGTGAAAATTATATTCCACATATAGCAGCAAGTTCAATTCTTGAACAGTTGCACAAGGACTCTCTCAAGGTGGTCATTGTCCTTTGGTATTCAGAAGAAAACAGAAGCACTTTCTGCGACTTCTTCATTCGTCACATGCAATACAGTAGTCCCCCCTCCCATCCTCAGAGACATGTTCCGAGACCCCTAGTGTGTGCCTAAAACTGCTGAACTGTATTAGAAAGTTTATGAATTAGATATCAGGTACAGTGGAAAAAGAGATCACTTATGTCCAGGGTGAGAAATTGATAGATACTATTCAATTCATCATGCTTCTGAGAACAACGTACAATTTAAAATTTGAATTATTTATATATGAGATGAGTAACTGAAACCAAGAAGAGGGTAGGAGAGAGGACTGTATTGAGGAAATCTGTCTTGAAGAGTTGTGATGTAATAAAATGATTAACTTACCTGCTCTATCGAAGACATTTTTAAGTAAAATGGACATTTAAAATTTTTAAAAATATTTATACAAGTTGTATTTTCCTTGTGTATTTGTTATCATTTCAAGGGCATGTAGCAGTGGAGGTGACAGTGATTTCTAGTTCCATATCTAGAACATTGGTTTGGGTTTGTGCCCCAGCAATTTTACTCATCAGTAGAAATACTACTCTGCTAAGAAAGGTGGCTTATGTTCCCCCAAAGCCTCATGCAGCTTTTTCAGAGGTGGCTGGATCTAGAGTGTGTGAAGCTGGGATTAAGGATATATGATCACTAAATTAGTCCACTGATTGGTTTAGCATAGTTCTGGGTAGGATTAAAGGTGCCCCACCCTAGGTGTGAGTGCTACCATCCTAAGAGTAAGAATGTAATATAAGGACAGAAAGAGGGTTATTGCTTGTCACTTGTTGCTTGTTACTTCACTGCTGGGTACTTTCTGTCTGCCCTGCTTGGCATGAACTGTTTCTCCTCTGCAATGCCCCTTTGCCATGCCACCATGCCTTGAAGCCAGCCAAATATCAATTGAAACCTTTATAAACTGTGAGCCAAATAACTGTGAGCCTTTCCTCCTTTTGCCTTTGGGTGTTGGGTATTTTGTCTCAGTAGCAAGAAAAATAAAACAGAATTTGGTACCAGAGAAGTGGAGTTGTTATTATGGACTACACTTGACCATGTGGTTCAAGAGCCTTTGGGAATGGCTTGTGGGAAGAGTTTGGAAAGGTTTGGAGATTTCGGTTGAAAAACCATTCCTGGAATGCCTGAGGCTGCACTCGATGGGAGAGTGGTTAGAGCTCAGAAGACCAAAATACTGATGGAAATGCAGCTGGTAAAGACCAGGTTTAGGAGGTTTCTTCTGGAAAGAAAGACTGCATTGGTTATTGGACTTCAGAAGATGTTTGTTATGCATTGGCAGAAAGTTTGTCTGCATTTTGGTTATTTCCAGGGATTTGCTTGAGACTGAGATTAAGGGTGGCAGACCAGTTAATCTTGCAGAAGAAATTTCAAGGCAGTCTAATGCTGAGGCAGTGGTATAGCTACTGTTGGAGGCTTTTAGTCAGATTTATGTTGAAAATCAAAAGCATAGAGTCCAGGAGAATGATTCAAAACATTGTGAGTTTGACCAGAAAGGAAGCTGCAGCAAAGTTGCTTCCTGCAAAGATGAAACAGAGGAGAAATTGGTTGCTAAAAAGATTAGCGGAAATAAAGCCACATATTTCAGAAGAAGACAATAGAAGAGTTGGCTTGAGGATATCACAAGAACCAGCAGCAATCTACCCTTTGCAATCTCAGAGATGCAAAAGTGAAAGTCTTTGCTTTGAGAAAAGATTACCATGTTCCAGCATGGAGGTAGCCTAGGGAAGTGATTCTTCAGGATTTGGTTCATAGGCACTGAACCTTTCCAGCCAATAGAGAAGGAAGCCTGGCTACTGCTTCAGCTGGCAGCAGAGCGTGGCATCATCCATGGGTGCTGGTATTAGGTGTATGCAGAATGGAAGAGTTGTGAGGTCAGGAAGACTTCAGCCCAGATTTCAGAAGAAGGTCTGTGCCCCTGAGAGGGCAGTATGTGAAGCTGTGAGTGTGAAGCCAAAGGAGCAGGGGAGACCCCAGAAGAGCAGCCAGAAAAATGAATCATTTGAGGAAAACTGCAAGGAGGGAGCAGAGCAGGCCAGAGAGAGAAGCTGAGGGAACTACAACCGCCAGGTGCTGTGGGAGTGGAGCTGCCCGTTCCCTTTGGACTTCACGGCTTGTTAAAATTATGAGGGATGCTGGACGTGGAACTGTGGGCTTTAATGTTTGCCCTGCTGAGATTTGGTCTGTCTTGTTCCCATTCATTGCTCTCCCCATTTATAACTTTAGGGATGGAAATGTCCATATTGTGCCATTGAATGTTGAAAGGGTTTAAATTTCTTTTCATTTGTACAGGAGCTTGCAGCTAAGAGTTTACCTTACTTCTCTGACTTGGACTTTTTAGGAATGCCAAAACTTTTAGGACTTTGGCAACTCTTAGAGATAGACTAAATGCCTTTTTCATAAAGGGATGTGCATGAGTCTTTGGGGTGCCAGAAGCAGCATGTTATGGCTTTTGTCTAGATTTTTACCCAAAGCTTCATGCGGTCATAAATGGGCCTTTTTCAAAGTTGGCTGAATGTACAGTGTGTGATGCTGGGATTAAGGGTATGTGATTACTAAATTAATCCACTGATTGGTTTGGCATGGTTCTGGGTAGGATTAAGAGTATCCCACTCTAGGTGTGATACTGCCCTAAGATTATGGGTATAATATAAGGGATAGAAAGCAGGTCATTGCTTGTTGCTTGCTTGACGCTTGTCACTTGTCACTTGCTGGTTGCCACTTCACTGCTGGGTGTCTTCCGCCTGCTCTGCTGTGTCATGGACTGTTTCTCCTCTACAGTGCCTCTCTGTCATGTGCCACTCTGCCTTGGAGCCAGCCAATTATTAACTGAAACCTCTGCAAACTGTGAGCTGAAATAAACTTTCCTTCTTTTATCTTTGGGTATTGGGTATTTTGTTTCAGCAGTGAGAAAAGTAAGACAAAAGGCAATTAATGTTTTCATATTATTATGATAATCATTTTGTCCATAGGTGACTCTGAAAGAATCTTGGGACTCCTTGGGGGTTCTGTGAACTCACAGTTTGAAATTGCCCATCTGGCAAGAGTCTGTGTCTACTTATGAGTCCTGATATATGCTTTTTCCATCCTGTCACACCTAACATGAATGAACATACTTCATTGTTTCTAGTTTTGAATTGATTTCCTTTCCGTTGACTACTATCTTTATCTGTTCCTTTTCTTTTAGCAAGGAAATTTTAACAGTTCCATTGGCTCAGATGGATACATGCTCTCATCACTGACCTGTGGGATGGCTCCAGTAACTTCCATCACTGAAGGACTCCAGCAAGTAAGCTCTGCCTTGATCAGAAGTCTGACAAATGGGCCAAAACTGCATTGCATGAGAACTCCATTAAAAGGGGATAAAGATAGACTAAGTAACTTTAAGAATGTGAAAAAATTTTATTCAGCTATTAACTTTTTCTTTTCCTCTACCAGTAGCAAGTAAATAGGAAGTAGAGTAAGGACAGAACTTAAGAACTGGAAAAAATGTTTTCTGTACCGGGCTATATAGTACAAGGTGTGATCAAAAACTACACTGAATGGTTAAATTAAAAATTAAACAAAGTGTTAAGTAAAAGACACATTGCCATTAACCCCACTTAAAATACTGTCCCTCACTTCAAGCATACTTGCCACACTTCTTGACCCTTTCTGAAGGAGGTCTAAATGTCCTCTTTCATGAGTATCTTTTCCTGACTGCCTTGATGTCCTGAATTGATTCAGAATATACACAGAAATTCGTCCAAAAAAAAAAAAAAATCCATGGTGTGTCCTCCTCTACTGATTCACTAGACTGTGCAACTCTGACTCTTCCCCAAAGTCAAAATAGCCCTGAAAGGTAAACATTTTCAGTTAGTTCAGAACATCAGGGCACCTACAACAGTGTAACTGAACACAATCATGAAACAAGACTTCCAGAACTGATTCGGAAAGGGGCAAGTATCATGGCATCTATGTGTTCAAAAAGAGAGGGAATATTTTGAGAGGGATTAATAGCAATCTGTCTTTTATTGTAATACAACGTTTAAAAAATTAAAACATTCACCACATTTTTCAATCGTACTTGATAGATAAAGTGACATCTCTGCTATTGATTGTTAATCTGGGTTTTTACCTGAGAACTACTGCTCTAAACTTTTGGAAAAATGGAAGCATCTGTCTACAATAGTTTAGGGTGAGCTTGCCTACAAATAATGAGATACTATTCTTGAAATCATTCTTGGGTGAGTTGGGTCACCAATAGCTAAGCCAAAGGAGACACAATCGAGGATTAGACACAATCAAGGAGTAAACACAATCCCTAGTCTTAGAAATTTATAGTTTTGTCCAGGACACACAAATTAATGGACATTAATTGTTCTTTGACGTGTATTCTGGGTACTTTTACTCTGGTGATGTCAGGTAACCACTAACCTCAGGTCACCTGCAGTCTACCAGAAGAGACTAACGAGAAAGGTATTAATATTACTGGCCAGTGTAATTGTAGAGTTGTATTAGATTGCTTTGGAAGCAAAACTAAGGGGTGGTTTATAACAGAGCATTAACTTCTATGCCAGGGACCACATAAGACTAAGGCAAATGATTTTATTGCTAGTTTTCCTCATGGTCTTTCCTAAGTCCTTTTTTTTCTCACTCTACATAATACCCTACTATTGTGTCATTTTTTCCTGACACTAGACTCTGTTGGATATAAACTCTTTGGAGACAGGTTGCCTGTCTCTCTTGTGTGTCATCGTACCCCAGCAGGAAGTGTCTGCACTGACCAGAAATTCCAGAATGCCTGAGTTGGGCCAGTGCGCAGTCCATACCTTCTCCTTGGGCAGTGTGATTCCTTTCTTATGACTGCTACTTCCATATAAATATGTCCAGCCCCTAACTGCCCCCGGGCTCCAGTTCTGTATCAGAGTCTCTTAGTCATTCTCCCTGGAAAGTGACTACAAATCCAATTCGACCGAGCTTTGTACCTCCCCAGCATTCTGTGGTCTTCTCCCCCTTCCTACACCCCATTTCTATCTCCATAACTGGTGCACACATTCACTCCCCTCAGCCAGAAACTGAGGTACAGTTGCTGCCTCTGCCTCTCTCTTCAGGGGCCCCCTGCTCCCTAACCTTTTTGCCTCCTTTTCAGGAACCCCACTGTGCTTCTGGAGGTAAGGCCTGGCTTCTTGACCCTGTACCTGAGTTACGTACTTTGTGAGCCAGAGGCTGTTAATGAGCCTCTCAGGGGCTTGCAAAGCATTGTTTTGGTTTACCTGGCATGAGTGTGTGTGTGTGTGTGTATGTGTTTAGTTTCAAAATTAGATTTTCACATAAAAGGCCTAGATTTCAGACTTTTCTTGGCAAATCAGATCTGGCTAAACAAGAGCTGCATACTCAGCATGCAGTAATCAGTGGAGACTGGTGGCAGCTACACCTCAACAGTCCCTGCCCGCCCCCAAATCCCTTGGTCTACCACACCCTGCCCAGGCCCACCAGATACATTTGAGTGTGCCATCACGTTCTCTACCTGTGTTTCTAAACTGTGGCTCTACCCTGCATGAAGCCTCCTGTGGCTCCCCAGTACCTTCAGAATGAAGCTCAAATCCCAACAAATGACCAAGCTCTGAGCTGCCCCCCACCACTAACCTTCTGACTTCTGCTCTTTCTTTCTGCACCCTCCACCCCTGTCATCTATGGGACTTTACAATAAGGCCCTCAACCCAGATAACCTCTATCTAACCGACTTCTAATCTTCCCTCAGGTTTTATCTTGCTTTTACTGCAAAACTCCTGTACTTACCCCTGTTCTTTATAAGGCTGTATTGTAATTGGGTTTTTCTTAAGGTCCTCCCTCCCTTATTTAAAAAAAAAAACTAGCTTTTTTTTTTTTAGTACACTTTTTAGGTTTATGGAAAACTTGGATGGAAAGTATAGACTTCCCATATATATCCCCCTTTTCTCCTGTAAGCATTGTTCCTTAAAGTTATATATATGTTTAAGTTGATGAACCAATATTGCCATGTGATTATCAATTAAAACCTAAGTCTCCACTATGATTTACTCTTGGAATTATGCATTTCTGTGGGTTTTGACCAATGCCTAACACATACTCCATTACAGGGTCATGCCAAATAACATCACTACCCTAAAATTCCATTGAGTGGCATCTTTCCATCTTTCACCTTGGCCTCTGCGTCACAGTGACCTTTTTTACTGTCTTCATAGTTTGGATTTTGCTAACTTTCCTTTGTCTTTCATATTTTTCAAATTTACCCTAGTTTGAAACTAGTTGCTTTCACAAGTTGCTCAGAAAAACAGTAAACCCTTTTATTTATGCATGCTGGTTCCCACTTTTAATCTCAGCTACTCCAGAGGCTGAGGCAGGATGATTGCAAATTTGAAACCAGCATTGACAACTTAGCAAAACCCTGTCTTTCAAATAAATTAAAAATATAAAATAAATAGCTGAGATTGTACCTCAGTGATAGAGCACTTGCCTAGCATGTGTGAGATCATGGGTTCAATCTCTAGGAATAAAGAAAAGAAAAAGATAAACAGTGGACACTCCTTTAGATTGCTCCTTTGCACCTTTCTCAAAGGTGGGTGCTTCTTGTTCTTGTAGCAGAGACTTGCGTAGGTACCCCCCTTCGTTGCATACCTCCCTTGATCTTCTCTCTTCCTTGGTTGGTACATCAGATTATTGCCTTCAGTGTGAGAGATGAGGACTTAACTCTTCTTACCATCCTCCTCCCCACTTGCACTTTGTTTATATTGTCAATTATTTATATTGTCATTCTGTCTTACCGTCATTTTGGTTAGATATGTGCTTGAAGAGATCATTTTTGTGATGAAATACCATTTAGAAGTGTCATGTGTGTGTCATGAATGATTACTCCTGTTTAAAAAACCCAGGCTTTTGTTTTCACTAAATTACTTTTGACCCTTACCTGGGTACTGTTTGAATGTATTAGTGGTTCAGTCTTGAATTCTTCACTAACCATCTTCATCTCCTCTTGACATGCGCTGTTCATATATACTGGCCGCGGTGGCTGTTTCCTTCAGGAAGGAGCCATGATTGCTCAGCATGGTGCAAAGCTGATGCCTGGCTCCTCCTCTTCCTGCTGGTCCTGGAAAATATCTCTGCCTGTCTTTTCTAAGTTGGACCTTGTTTCCTGGACCTCATGACAGTGTCTGTCTTTGTGATCCTCTCATTTTATTTACCTCTTCTGATAGTTTTCCAGGAAGTGGTGGGGTGAGGAATCTAGGAGACAAATTTTTTTGAGTCTAGTACTTATAAAAATGTAATTCTTGCTCCTTGTACCTTTTCAAGATCCCATTTAGAATTGCGTTAGTGAGAATCTATTAAAGGGAAGACCGAGAGTACCATGGGTATAGTTTATTGCTGCCTTGACCCTGAAATAGTAATTGCCTTTTTACTTGATTGTTTTTACAATTAGCATACAAGCTCAAGTCTGGAAGTGCCCACCTATAGTCTCAGCTACATAGGAGTTGTTCAGGACCAGCCAGGGCAACATGGAGATCTTAAAGAAAAAAAAAAAAAAAGGCTCAGAGAGGGCAAGGTTATATCTCAGCACCCGGTGTTTGGGCTCATTCTTATGATCAGCACGTAAATCTTAAACCAAAGAAACATTTTTTGTATTCCGGCTCCTTGGAATGCTATAGTTGAGTTTCCCTAGTAGTTACAGTCCTGTGTTGCTAAGAATACCATTTTGTTCTTTTGTGGTTGGAATTTATTAATCGGACAACTATTTTCTCTCTCTGGAAGGTGGAGTGTTAGGCAGTGGTACAGAGTAGGCATATTCTGTTTTCAAAGCTTATTGACATTTATCAAGTTTTCATTATACTTATCCTTGGAACAGATTAGAAGATGTGTCCTAGAAACTATTTACCAGAGGCCTAAATACTTTGAAATGAAGTGAATTATTGTATTGCACTGTTGGATGTCAGACAAACTAAAAGGTCTCTCTTTGTCTTGCAGGTGGTCACTATGGGCCTTTTCCGAACTATTGCTTTGTTTTACCTTGGAAGTTTTGATGGCATAGTTCGTCGCTGCATGACGCAGAGAGTGAAATCGGAAATTGCAGACAAAACTGCCTAATTCTTACCCCTTGAGTGTGTGTGGGGAACTGTTTCCAAATAATTCAAACAGCTTGCTGCTACATGGGACCCAAGTTTTAGACTACAGATACTTGTCTTGTTTTTGAATATATAAGATTGGACCAGTGCTCTTCCTAAATCTGGCTACCAGCAAAGAAATAGAAGTCCAGCTTCAGACCACATCATTAACACTATGCAAATATGGAATAGGAGAGCTTTGAGATGGAGCAGTAGCAGTGTGAGAGAATTAACAGTGTGCCAACAGGGTAAGGATTGGAATTCTAGAATAACAAGCAGAATTTTTTTCTATTTATTCGTTTTCCCCTTTATAAAGATAAAATCCAGATAATGTACTTCATGGTACAAAAGAAGTCTTGAGAGTTTTTTTAAACTTTCCATGAAAGGCAGTTCATGGATTTCTGGGGTTGGTTTTTCTTCTTAACTTGGTGTATTTTACTCAAGATGAGCTGTGTGCATTGCCAGTGAGTCTGGATGCCCTGCGTCATGCTTGCTGTGCTGCTGGTGGAACCTCTCTCTCTTTGATCCCACAAAGCTGCAAGGGGGATGGGAGAGAATAGTGCAGAAGGTGAGATCAGTCTTTTCCGGTAGGGAAGCAGTGCTTTCTTGTCTTCTTTTAATCGAAGCTTAGGACTTTTCAGTTTTTATTCATGGAGAAAGACAGCCTCCTTAGTAAAATCTTAGATGCTTACAGAAGTTTACAGTTTCCTCAATAGCCATGATAAACTGAAGCTCACGTGTTCCATGTTAGTGTCTGTCCTTCCCTTTCTCCTCTGTCCCACTTTGCTTATTCTGCTGTAATATTTTTGTAAAAGAAGAATGACCAGCTAAGATTTTTGACTTGACTTTTTAAATTAAGTCATCAAGTCATTAAACAATAAATAAAAAGTGTAACATTCTTAACCTAGTAGCATATATGTAGCTTTTAGAAAAGGCTTATGATTGTATGTTTAAATCTTACTCACTAAGAAAAGAGATGGATAATTTTGAAGATACTCATTTTTTTGAAATAAAATGATCACCCATTTTTCTATGATTCCCCCTGACCTGAGAACAGTATCTTCCTGCCACTGTTACCACTCATTTCTTCGTGCAGCCCTAGAAATCTCCCTGGCCCTGTGAAGCCGTATTTGGGTTGCAGGACCTGCTCATTTTTTGGATTTCTACATCAAGTGCCTATTCCCATCCTGGTCCTCTTCCTGTGGCATCCTGTTTGTCAGGACATCTTGATGCCCATCCCCTCATCCCTGCACATACAATAGTGCATTCTAGTTCCCTTGGATGGGAAAAATCTTCTACTTTTCAAGAAGAAATTTTTTTGTTGTTAAAGAAAAAGTAACCTAGAAATTATATCCGGGCCTTTTTTTTTTGAGCTTTTGAAGTTTTTTTGACTTTGAAAGTGACTTCACTTTTAAATAATAATATGTTTAATAGCTCCATGGTATTGAGATCTGCAAATGGCAAATTTAGTCACTAACAAATACAGAATAAGTTACTATTTAATATATAAATTTCTTTGTATAAACTTGATTACACTTTGCAGGAGTTTGTTGATGCCAGAATGAGTTCATGCATCATTCAGTTTTTATAGCCAAAGTTTGCAGTCTTTGTGGAGTTATTCTGTGCAGCTGCTAAAAAGGTATAATGTATTTTCCTAAATTATATTAATATTTATACATTTCTCAGTTTTACTCTTTTCTTATGAGTGCTTTTTGAATGTTGATATCCTCTGCTGATCTATATTAAAATCTAGCCTAAGGTGGTGTTGGATTTAATAAAATTAATGACTTAGCAATAGTTATTACAGTATTTTTTTCAAATTATTGTCAGAGAGAGTATTTTACTCAGGTACTCTACTGTTGAACAAATTTAAGAACCCCTTTCTGTGGTGGGAAATACTGTCCCTAATCTCGTGTAAGTCAGGCACAAGAGGAGGTTTGCAGAGGTCATAATGGAATGGAATAAACTTTGTCAGAGATGTTAAAGGTCCACATTCCCTTACCCCAGAAACTCTAGAACTAAGTTTGCTTATTTTTCTAAATTTGATGCTATAATTCACTATCAAAACTTGAACTGGTGTGTGGTTATTGTTTATTTGTGCCACTTCATGTGCCTGTTTGAAATATCAACAGGTTTGATTTTATAGTTAGTGCCAAACTTCAAGGAGGCATTTTGTGATATCCATTATATGCTTCCGTGGCACCTTTTTCAAATCCAACAAATTATGAATTTGGAAAAACATCTGGCCCAGAGGGTTTTGGAGAGAGAATTGTAGTCAGACAGCATCCCACAATATTCTGAATCCATCCAAAACATGAAAATATTACAAAGAACATTCAATTTTTATATCCCTTTTGGCTTGATTCTTGTACAACTTGTTTTTCTGTTGAGGGGAAGAAAAGGAAGAGGAAAAAGAAGACAACCTTTAATCCAACTGTTAGGGAAACTATTGACCTTTTTTAAAGAATTAAATCACACTGATTTAATAGTTACTGTGGATGAATCTTACCTATGGCTATAGTTTTTAAAATTCTCCTTCTTGGTGCTGGTGTTTGAACCCAGTGCCATGTGCATGCTAAGCCTGAGTTCTACTGCTGAGCATCGTTGCCTCCCAGCCCTAGAAATTTAATTGCAATCCTGTTGGACTGTTGACTATGTGATCACCAACAACTTACATAAATTTCAGTTCTCAAGCACCTGCTCTGATGGTTTGGTTTACTATTTTATTGTAATGAGTATATTTTCTTATAAGTTAAATTACATTTACTTATAAATTAACATCATTCAGTCATATAAATTCAAAAATATGTTCCAAGGCATTTCATAATTGAAAAATGTATAGAAAACAGTCCTTAGTTCTATTTTCAAAAACAAAAATCATGGGCCAGGGATGTAGCTTAGTGGTAGAGTGCTCGCACATCACTATAAAAAAAGAAAAAAATTAGGAAAATTATTCATTCTGTATTTTTAACATAATTTGCACGGTTAAAAAGACTATTTAAAATGTTGTTCCAGTGGTCTTTTTACGCTAATATTTATATATATCTAGTTAAAAATATTTATCTGGATCTGTAAAAACCATGTGTTATTGATTCCCACAAATGAAACTTCAAGAGAGTATTTCTGATATTTAGATGGTGAAAGCATTTTGGTAATATTGAATTTCTTTCAATTCAAAGAATTGTATGTTTTTCTCTTTCTGGAAGAAGGCAATACCACAATTTTTTTCTGAATTATGTCGTCAGGTTTAATTTTATTATATCATGTTTTAATTTAAACATTAGTATTACTCAGTTGAAGCCACTTTTAAGTGTTTGTTTTTTGATGTAAGATAATTTGTGTGTTATTTCCTTAAGTTTTCAGTAGATTGGTTTTAAAAGTAACAACTAACCATAACTTTCCAATTCAGGACTGGATCTTGCTATTGAGTTATAGTTTGTGGTAGTTGTGGATTTGATATTTTGAAGAAATAATTGCTGTTATATTTTACACTTGGCCTGAAATGAGAACTCTAAAAATGTTTTTAAATTGAAAAACAATACATGGCTATTTTGATACATGTTAGAACTTGTATTTGCTATGTTAGAAGCTTTTGTGGCAGAATTGTAACCTAATTTTCATATCTTGTATTTCTGAATCACAACAAAAAATAAATGGGGAACAAGCTTTACAGATCTAAGAACTTATTTTTCTAGAATTTTGTGTTAAGAGACCACTTAAGCAAAATTCAAATGTTTTCTGCAATGTTATCATGACTTGGCTTCCTAAGCATTTCACAAGGCCTGATTCTTATCTTTTTTTAAGGAAGTAATATTTTCAGAATAAATGCTTGCTACTCAGCTCTTACTTCAGATACCTGCTATTTGTAGGCCTTTGCTATGGGATGTATGAGTAAAAGTTTAGGATTGTAGGCCCAGCCTGTGGCCCATTCCTATCATTTCAGTTACTTCTGAAGCTGAAGTAGGATGGCATGTTTTGAGGCCGGCCTGGGCAGCTTAGCAAGACCATTTCAAAATACAATTTTTAAAAGAGCTGGGGATATAGCCCAATAGTAGAGTATTTCTGGGTTCAATCCCCAATACCAACCCCCCCCATGTTAAAATTTTAAAATCCCACCCTTCAAATTATATTTAAATAGTCCATCCATAAACTGCCTTCCAGCTCTGAAGGGCAGCAAATTTTGCAAGATTGATATGTAAAAAGAACACATCTTAATATTCATCAGTTCTTAAACAATCACTTTAGTCATATTGAAAAAGGAATATTTGGACGTGTTTGCAAACTTAATCTTTAAATCTGAGCACTTCGTATTAAGAAATGGCATGTGATATCAGTTCTATAGTTTTCATGTTTTGATGCAAAAAAGTGATTCTTTTTCCATTCTTGACTTTATAACCTCTATTTTTCTTCATTCAGCATATGTTTGTTGAATACTGACAATGAACTGGCTATTTAGGCACTAGAGATAGAATTCTGTGTAAACATTTTGTCCCTTTCTTAATCAACATCTTCCCTCCTTTGGTTCTTGGAACTACTCTGCTACATCCTTACAGTCTTCCTGCAGGAAGAGGAACCAACTGCCTGTTTCCCTCTTTAGTTTGATGTCTCTGAATCTTATGTCACTTGCATTTGGAAGCTCAGCACTATTCTAGGCTGGGCATGTGCTAAGGAAAAATATGTTCCTGCCCTCAGATAGTTTATAGTTTTGGGCAGGAAATATATGCCAGAAACTTCACAGTGATCAGTAATACTCTTAAATAAAAGATACCACAACTAAGGCCAGGCGTGGTGGTATAGGCCTATAATCCAGTGTATTAGTTACTTTATGCTCGTTGCTGAGACAAAATACCTGAAGCCCAAAGTTGGGAAAGGAAAGGTTTATTTCTTACAGTTTTTGGAGGTTTCAGTCCACACTCAGATGGCTCCCAGGCAGGCGGGTATGGGCCGCCTTTCATGGTGGCTGCAAACACCAAGCCGGAACCGGCAAAGAGCAAGACACACCTTCTTCCTGCCATTACATCACATCCTGGCTCCACCCCTAAGTGGGTGTAGCACTAACACCATCAATCCAAGCACTATACAATGAACTATCACAAATGAACAATGCAAACTCATGAGGCCTGGGGGCCACAGACATAAATCATGACATCCAGCACTTTGGAAGTTAAGGCAAGAAGATTGCTACAAGTTCAAGGCCAGCCCAAGCTACATAACAGGACCCTGTCTCAGAAAACAAAGCAAAAGAAAAGATCACAAACAACATCTAACACTTAACTGGTGGCAGTCCCTGCTGAGTGTTTTACATGTTTTAACTCACTGAAATCAGACAGTATCCCCACTCTTTGAGTCTGTGTGAATTTTAAGCTCCTAGCCTCTGTACAAACCATAGGTAGAAACCTGCCCAGGACAGTCTGGTAATTTCTCAGAGGAAGAAATTCTTGAAGTGAAACTTTAGGAGTGAGTATGAATTTGCAGGGTAAAAAGTTTGGATACATTTCAAGGAGTCTTAACAGTTGTGTAAAAGCAAAAGATGCAGAAGATTTTGGTGTGTGAGGTGTAGTTGAAATTTATGGTGAAAGTTTAAAAGTGTATCGTAGTAGAAGGCACAATGCCATTAATTCCCCTCAAAATACTTCCCCTCTCTTTGGACACACATCCCATCGTTTTTACCACTTTCTGAAGCAGTTCTAGAGGTCCTGTTTTGTGTGTTTATTAGATGTGCTAAAAAGACTGCTGCTGTTGAGTGGGATCCAACAGAACGGCAGGCTCAGAAAAACGTGTCCCCTCACTCACCCATCCATTAGATCTGGCGCTGTGTGACTTCTAGCTCTGCCCCAAAGTTGAAGCAACTATGAAAGGTAAACATTTTGAATTGGTTCAGGATGTGAGGCAGCCATGACAGTGAAACTAAATACAATAAAGGGCTTCCAGGACTGCTTCAAAACGGTGGGATACATGTGTTTGAAGTTGGAGTATTTTGAGGGGACTTACACAAACTGTCTCTTACTGTAATCCTTGTTTTTTTGTGAGAAGGTCTTACTATGCAGTTTAGGCTGGCCTTGAGCTCACTTTGTAGTCCAGGCTGGTCTTAAATTTGCAGTGATCCAGCCTGCTATGTGCTGGGGTTACAGACTATAATGTTTTTATTAATTTAAATATTCACCATGGTTTCCATCACATCTCACATTCCAGACACCACCAGAATGTAGTTTAGGTGTGAGAAGGGAAAGGAAGTGGGAGTGGATAGGTATGACCATGTCATGCCATACCAAAGAGTCAAATGCTAGTCGTTGATGAGCTTTGAGCAGAAATGTGAAATAGATTTTAGTTTTAGAAAGTTCACAGTACTGCTTAAAATTTGGTTTTAATATTGCTAAGTCATTAGGCCTTGGTGCTTCACCACATTAGTGTGAAAAACAACCTATAAGAAACATTGTGGATTGAAATGTCACCCAAAAATATGCTGAAGGCCTTTACCTACTTGGAAATAGGGTCTATAGAGTTGTAATCAGGTAAAGATGAGATTATTAGGACAGGTCCAAATCTATTATGATTAATGACCTTTTAAGAGAAAAAAAAAAAACTGACTAGAATAAGACCATGTGATGAAGGCAGAGACTGAGATATGCAGTTACAAGTCAAGGCAGATCAAGGATTGCCAGCTTTTACCAAGATTTAGGAGGAGAGGAGGAGTCTATCCAAACTCTCAGAGGAAGTATGGTTTCACAGGCACCTTGATTTTGCACTTGTAGAGCCAAAAAGAAACCAAAACCAAAAACAAAACATATTTTGTTGCTTTTGTGGTTCTTTGTGACTGAAACTTCAGGAAACATATCAATTTTTCTCTAATAGCAATTAATATTTGAGAGATACTGTACTCTGCTAAATAGTATAAAAATAAAACTATACATCAGAATGTAAATTTGTCACTTATCTTTCCATGTGATGGCATAACTTATTTGGTTATAGGACTGCAGTTCCAATCTAAGAAGAGCACTAGGTATATTTGGACAATACAGCAGATTGCTATCTCTAGTTTATTTCACTTTAAATGCTAGCTCATTAATCTGAAGGGGAAAAAACTGCCAAATAATTTTCCTATGATTTCCTTTGTAAATCAAAAATAAAATTATTTACAAATTAAAACAACATTGAGAGTTTATCTTACCTAAGAAAGAACAGCTACCATCAAAAAATCAAACTAACAAAAACTGTGCAGGCTGCAGAGGGAAAAGGCACACTTCTGATTTATTGGTGGGAATATCCACTAGTACAACCACTTTGGAAATCACTATTACTGACAGTTCTCAGAAAAACTAAAACTAGAAGTTCCATTTGACCCAGCTCTTCTAGGTATGTTCCCAAAAATTAAAATCATCATACTAAAGTGATACATGCATGGCTGTGCTTACAGCAGTCAACTCACAAGCTAAATTTTTGAAGTGGCCTGTATGTCCATCAACAAATGAATGAAGAAAATGTGTTTATGCACAGTGGAGTTTACTTCACCATGAAGAAGAAATTCAAGATATATGTAGGAAAACAGATGCTCCTTGAGACTATAATATTAAGGGAAGTAAGTCAGATACCTAAGCTTAAATGTCATGTAGTTTCTCTTATATGAGAGTAGTATTGTGCCTAAAAAGGGTAAATTAAGTCATTTGTTATCTTAATGTTAAGTGAAATAAATCAGTTTCAATGTCACATAACTTCTTTTATATGAGAAGCTTAAAGTATAAATTGAAGAGCAAAAGGCAAGACAATAGAAAACAGATGGACAGCGGGAACCTGGAGATGGTTGCACAACTGCACAACAGCAATGGGTTTGTTTGCATTTTGTTATCTAGGTTTAAAGATTGCTATTTTTCTAACCATTTTTGAGGTTTAGTGCTCCCCCCAAATTAGGTGAGTTTCTAAGTTAATCTAAGGCTTGCTGTTTCAGAGTTGTTGAAAGTATTTCCTGACAAGAAGAATGGATTAAGAGCACAGATGGATCACATAGCAGAAGAAAGACTGAGCATGAATGAATTGGGAACGTATTGTTGGGGCTTATTCAGTGCTTTACCAATTACTAATGTCATTTGAAACAATGATACTACTCAATGCAAGGGTTGGTAGTGTATAAAATACATGAAGTTAGACACTATCATTTTAGATCACTTTTGGAGCTTGTGAGGGTTTTTTGTGCGGAACGGAGTGCTGTTGTGCAAGTTTAACAGATGTTTAAATTTTTTTTATTAATATGTTTTTAGTATATGATGACAATTATTGTGGGCAGTAGATACATGTACGTATCTTTCTATCTCCCTCCTCCCTGTTTCTATCTCCAGGTTCTCCTGTTGTTAAAACCAGGGCTCAGACTTGCACCTCAACCTATTTTTAATTTTTTCATTTTCAGACAGGGGCTAAGTTGCTAAACCCAAGTGAAGCTTGTACTTCTGATCTTCCTGGCTCAGCTTCTCAGAGTGCAGCAATTACAAATGCCTGAGATGTCATTTCTTTAAATTTTGTGCAAGATATATGTACTATTACTCTAGTGAGTTCCTTTTGTTTACGAATTTATTTCTACTTCATTTGGGGTCATAGTTTTCAAACTAACCCCCCTCCCAATTTTTTTTAAACTCAGCATTTTATTAATCCATTCCCTCTTACTTAATGGTCTCTTTCTACTCTCGTTTTAAATAAGTTTAATAGTTGGAAGGTTTTATATGTACATTAAACATTGCTATAATTCAGATTAGAATAATTTTTTAATTTCATAAGTTTAATGAACATTTACATTGATGGATGAACAGAACTTTTGTGAATAATGCTGAACACCAACCAGCAGGTGGCGAGACCTGGCAATAAAAATCTTTTTGTTTGAAGAAATAAAACAGGCCTTTCAGATTCTTGATACAATCTCCATTCCCTGCATATTGCTCTTTTCCTGGTGCCATCCTTCTGGTGGGATCCATCCGGGAAGAACTGGGCAAAAAGGCGGTCCTTTTAGCTCTCCCAAGTGGAAGCCATCTGGGAAAGCAAGAAATCCATGGTACTTGTCTGGAAGGTCTCAGGCACAGGTGTGGTCCAGAGCTAACAAGAGACCTTTCCTGGGATGTTACAGGCTAGATGCTATGTAAAGAGCCAGTCCGGGAAAGCTCATAAGGAAGACTCTACAGAGGCAGAGAAGTCACCGAAGCTTTTCTTTCTCTGGGAATAAGGGACCAACTTCCTTCTGACTGCCTCCTTTGCAGAAGTACAACTTCTTTGCCTTTTGTCCTCTAGTTTCTGCACCCACATGCTGGGTATTAAAAGTGTGAAGGCTTTCAATTCCTCTTAAGTAATGTTAGGTTTTTAAGACAAAACATAGTTCCGGAATTAGTACAATTTACACTTTTTATAAGAACGTGTATCACAGGTCAATCTACAGTACAATTCCTATGATTTCTATGAGTATAGTAGGTCAACTCATACCCACTGTCTACCTCAGAAGACCTTACCCATCTGCCACTGTCCCTAGATAAGGGCCCATCACATCATCTCCCTTCACTCTTCCTGGATAACAGTTATACCAAGGTGCCCTTTCCTATGTGAAAGACATCAGCATGATGACTGATGGAATGGTGAATATCATAAATGAAATGTGATATTTTTTGTTTAAAAATAATTGCTTATTTCCTATGTGAAAGACATCAGTGTGAGGACTGATGGAATGGTGAATATCAAATGAAGTAATGTATTTTTTGTTTAAAATAATTGCTTATATTTTTAGACTGGAAATAAAAATAAACAAGGTATCAGAACGTAATTGTACACATTGTGGTACTCATTTCTCATGTTTCTATAACCACAGTAATCTAGTGTCGTTATGCATTTCTATTTGAGCCTGTTAAACTGCTGTGCATTTAGTAAACGTTTTCTTGATGCTTTGTCAAAGAGAAAGATAAAAATAGTTATTTTTCGCTTGTCCTTTTAGGGGCTATTCAAGCTGGTGAATTAAAAAAAAATGTCTTTGCTCACAAATGTGTGTATAAGCGTATCATACAGATATAGCTGCTAGGCAAAGGTGGAAACATTTTAAAATTCATCCACCGTGGTATTAGGATTGTGGCCTTGGAAGCTGCCATGCGGCACTGCTCAGAGTCCAGCCCTGGTCCACCAGCCAGTGTTAGGGCAGACAAGCAGCCTTTACTGAGCTTTCTTCGATAGTGGTCCCCTCCTTCTTGCTTTCCCTGGCGCACTGGGTCAGGTCCGGCTCGGTCACAACCGTGTGTTCAGGTGAAACCAGTCGGTGTGCGCGCGCGTGTTCGGCTTGGACACTCAGGAATCAACTGGGAAGTAAAGACGACGCTTCGGGCTGCTTCCCTGGACCTTCCTTAATGAATGTGCACGGCCGCCTCGTCCCAGAAGGGCAGCGCCAAAGCCCCGGCGCTCAGAGGTTCACACCGGCCTCTCCGGGCGAGGGAGCGCCGGCCACACACCGGAGGTGTGCAACGTCTCTGTGTGGAACATCTGTGCGCGCCCACGCGGTCGGAAAGGGTCCCGGCGCTCGTTCGTCCTTGTTTTCAGGGCGCAGCCGCCCGCTCAGCGCTCGGTCGCCCCCGCGGGCCGCCGCGACCCCGGAGCACGCGCCAGGCCCACCGCGGGCCCGAGGAGGCCCCGCGCACACCCACCGCGCCGCGACCGCGCGGGAGGCCTGCGCCGCCCGCGCCACCCACCGGCCGGCCCCCGGGCGGAGCGGAGCCGGCGGTGGCCGCCCGGGCGCGCCCTCCCCGGCGGTGGCCCCGCGTACCAAGCGTCCCCTACCGGACGCTCGGCTCCCAGGCCGGCCGCGGCGCCTTTAACCCGGGAAAGAGAACGGGCGGAGGCGGGCGGCTCAGAGGAGGACTCTTTCTTTCTTCTTTTTTTTGAATGAACAGTTGTGACGTACGTACAGGAAACCAGGCGGTTGTGAGGAGAATGAAGTAAGAGGCCAGGCCCCCCCGCCCCGCGCCCGCCCCCTTCCTCCCCGCCCCCACCCCGCCCGCGCGCCCGGCCGCCCGCCCGCCCGCGCGCCCGCTCCTGGTGTCCCCGCCGAGCCACCGCCGCCGCCGCCGCCGCTGCTGCCAGCCGAGGTGCCCGGGCGCCGGGCCCTCCGTGCCAGTAGCCGTCACCCTCGGAGCGGGCTGCGCGGCGGGACCTCGAGGAGGCAGCCGTCGCTTGCGCCGCCGCGCAGGAGCAGGAGGAGGAGAAAGGTTGCGCAGCCCGGAGGCGGGGTGCGCTGGTGGGGTGCAGCGGAAGAGGGGTCCAGGGGGGTAGAACTTCGTAGCAGTCATCTTTTTAGGAAAAGAGGGAAAAAATAAAGCCCTCCCCCACCACCTTCTTCTCCCCACCGCACCACACACAGCGCGCGGGCTTCTCGCGCTCGGCACCGGCGGCGGGCCGGGCGCGTCCTGCCTTCATTTATCAAGCAGCTTTTCGGAAAATGCATTTGCCGTTCGGAGTTTAATCAGAAGAGGATTCCTGCCCCCGTCCCTGGCTCTTCCATCGTCCCCCTCCTGTGTCTTTCTCCGTGGAGTCGTGAAGCATTTCCGTGGGTAGAGATCCATGTCTGTGCCCGCGCGTGTCTGTGCGTGTGTGAATTGCCGAGAGGAGGAAAATCACAGGACTTCTGCAAATGCTGCACTGAACGTTGTAATTCATCTGCCGCCGCCGCTGCTGCCTTGTTTTCTCGTGCTCTTGAAACCTTCGGTTGGGATTCCTACGGATTGACATTTCTGTGAAGCAGAAGTCTGGGAATCAATCTGGAAATCCTAATTTTTGCAATCGACACCCCCACCCCCGATTCATTTGGAAGTTTCAGAGCAGCTACAAACGGAGAGTTCTGAAGATTGATGGGATCGTTGCCTTATGCATTTCTTTTGGTTTTACAGAAAAGGAAACTTGACAGAGGATCATGCTGTTCTTAAAAAATACAAGTAAGTTCTTTGCACAGGAAATTGGTTTACTGTAACTTTCAGTGGACACATTTGAGATGTTTGACTTTTAAGTGCATCCAAGTAAATTTCATTTCCAGACAGTTTAATACGTTCTTTTTAGGGGTGTAATTTGTAGTGTATATGCCCAGCTTTCACCTAGTGCATTGAAGAAAATGCACCTGATTTCGACTTACTAGGATTTTTTCTCCTTATCCTTTCAGCATCACGGAGGAAGTAGACTGATATTAATACTTTATGATAATGTGCCTCATGAAATAAAGATCTGAAAGGAGTTTGAATAAAAATTTCTTGCCATCTCATTCGAAGGGGGAAACACCAGAATCAAGTGTTCCGCGTGACTGAAGACACCCCCTCATCCAAGAATGCAAAGCACATCCAATAAAATAGCTGGATTGTAACTATTCTTTTTTTTCTTTGGGGTTGTAGGGTGGGAACGGGGGCGAGAGGTGCTGTTGGTACCCGGCTGCTTTTTTTCGGGGAAGGATGGCTCACGCTGGGAGAACAGGGTATGATAACCGGGAAATAGTGATGAAGTACATCCACTATAAGCTGTCCCAGAGAGGCTACGAGTGGGATGCCGGAGACGGGAGCGCAGCGCCCCCGGGGGCCGCCCGCACCCCCGGCATCTTCTCCTTCCAGCTGGGTCGCAACTCCCCGCTTGGTGTGCCCCGGGACCCGGCCGCCAGGACCTCGCCACCGCCACCCCTGGCCGGCCTCGCCGTCGCCCAGGGGCCTGCGCTCAGCCCGGTGCCACCTGTGGTCCACCTGACCCTCCGCCAGGCCGGCGATGACTTCTCCCGCCGCTATCGCCAAGACTTCGCTGAGATGTCCAGCCAGCTGCACCTGACGCCTTTCACCGCGAGGGGACGCTTTGCCACGGTGGTGGAGGAGCTCTTCAGGGATGGGGTGAACTGGGGGAGGATTGTGGCCTTCTTTGAGTTCGGTGGGGTCATGTGTGTGGAGAGTGTCAACCGGGAGATGTCACCTCTGGTGGACAACATCGCCCTCTGGATGACTGAGTACCTGAACCGGCACCTGCACACCTGGATCCAGGATAACGGAGGATGGGTAGGTGCATGTTTGAGTGAGTGTTCTGGGCTTGAGGGCACAGGTTTGTGATGCCCCGGCAGGCGTGTGGGTGGACCCCAAGGGTCAAGAGGAGGTTGTTGAGCCAGTGAAATAAAATCGGGTTTGTAGTTTTCTTCTCTTTTTCTCTGGACAAAGTGCACCCTACCAGGTGATTTCTTGCCACCAAAAGTGTTTAACTTGCTGCCTGCCATTGAACTTAAAGATCTATCATTTTTGACCCATTAAGATGTTTTGCTAGGCGGTATCCCTTCAGTGTTTCTCACACTGAGCCTTCAGGGTTCCCAGCATCAGGGATACCTGGGTCTTGTTGAAATTGGAGATTTCAGGGACTGCTTATGAACCAGATCCCCAGGGTTGGATCTGGTCAGTGTGCAAGCCCCCCTGGTGGATTCTTTAGTGTGGTAAAATTTGAGAACCATCCGATTAGGTGAACAGACTCCACCGGAGGACCTCTTCTGATTCATCTGCTAAAATTTTCCCCAAGAAGAAAACTAATGTAGTTCCTTACCCTGGAATACTTAAGCAGTACTTGTGAAGAGGTAAGTTGGCTTTCATTGACGTTCATGGACGCCTGTCTGCAGTGGATATGATGGTGTGTGTGCCTTAAAGAATACTGGGCTATGAATGCTTTATTTCACTGGGCACAGATTTTGCATCTGCCACATGCTTTGTGTTCTGTAACGCATGCATGGTTTAAAGTTTACCGACATCTAGTACTTCTCACCACTTAGGATCCACGTAACATTGTGATGTCCTCTGCTGTAAACTACTTGTATCTAGGAGAATGTAAGAAGGAGTAAGTTAGTGTGGATTGAGAGATGCCCTGACTTCAGTTGAAATGACTGATATCTGTAGCTTTGAAGATCGTCTGTCTGCAAGGTGATTTCTTTTCCTGGTGCTGTGCTAGATAGAAGCCATCATTTTGCTGTACAGTTCTTGTTTTCTATGATTCTTTGGGAGTGGGGAGCACATCCTAAGACTCAAGATTTATACTTAAGATCTGAACCTTATATTTAAAATGATTAATTTATAGAAGAGTAGTAATTCTTGCCTAAAGTTGTTTTCTTATAGACTTTTTGTTTTAATTTGAGGATTATGTTTGGAAAATGCTTGCAATTCAGTGTCTCCTTTTATAGTGTCTGGGAGAATGTTAAAATCACTTTTTTAGGACTTAACAGGAGGAAAAAAGCCTGAAATGACTACAAGTAGATTAAATGTCAAGATGCGCATTATATATTTTGCCACAGTTTACAAAATGTGCTAATATTCAGGACCCAAAAGGAAAAAGGCCAAAAAAAAAAAAAAAAAGAATGATTGATGTGAGCATCTGATCTTTAATGAAAGTTGACAATATAGACCCACTGTTTAAGGTATAAAAGTAAAATTCACTAACCTAATGCTCTAAATTTTAAATTTATGAATTGTTTGTTGAGACCCCCACATTATTAGATCTTTAGTAATTTGGGAAAAATTTGTTAAAATATGAAAAAATAACATTTTTGTTAAATGTTTAGTTATTAATAGGTGGCTCAGTTTTTAACCACTGTATCCAAAGAGGTGGAGACTTCCAGATGTCAGAAGGATTGTTCTAAAGACAAAGCAAAACTGATTTAATAGTTTTACTATTTCATACTTTTTAAAATTTAAGTTTTTCTTTGAAATTGAAAGAAATCCAAGCTAACTGTTGTTTGTCAAGTAAGTTAATAAAAAAAGTGGAAAATAGGACCATGTATTTGTGATAGAAATATAGATACAAACTTGTCATTTGTTATGGGATTGTAATATGTTAATACCTCTTAAAAATGAGCTTTTTAATGATCGCTTTTTCCTCCTTTCAAAATAAGGCTTGCATGTAGAGCCTATCTTTGTGGTCAACAGGTATCTGAGGTTGATAAATGTACAGGCTATGTTTTATGATGCCAAACCACAATGACATATTATACAACATGATAAAAAATATTTACAAAAACCCTTATGGTAAAAATAAATCATATAGAACCACAAATGATTGATAGTAAAAATATATAATAATTTTTAGAACAACACACACAGATGGATGAATTATATAGGAAAACAAAGGAATTTGGTTAAAAGAAAGTATTTATCAGGAAATGCAATCATATGTGGACACTTTAAAACAAAACTATATTTCAAGAGTTAAAAATGATTTGCCTATCATTTTATATGTGCATTATTTATCTAAATTTTTATTTTAGGCTTTTGGCATACAGACAGGTTTTCCTCCAAATTTGTACCAATCAAGGTTCTATACCTAATCAGAAATTGCTTCTTAGAATGTAGCTTTAATAACAGTTGGAAGCTTTGAAGAGAGCATATTTTCTGGACTTAAGACCATGATCTGTACTAGGGCTCAGTGGATTGGCTCATCTATGAAAGGTAGTATTGAACATTTAAAACTTTAAACTTGAAATCACTTTTTCTTTTCTGCTGCAGACTCAGAACCTTCTGGGCCTGAGGAAAATACATTCCATGTTTCAAAACAAGGAGAAAGCAGTCCTTGGAATGATCAGCCTCCAAAAGATGGTCCCACAGCCTACAAATTAAAGGCTACAGCAGTAATTGAGTATAGAGTGGAGTGTGGCTTTTTCCCTAAATCTGAGTAAGGCTTTGTGTGGCACTGAGAAAAAAGACAAGAAAGAAGTAGCAATGAGAGAACAACAGTTCTAGAAAATGTCTAAGACCTTGCAGCTAATGTGTAGCTCCCAGAATGGCAGCATCAGCACCACCAGGAAGGTTCTTAGAATTGCAGAATTTCAGGTCTCATTCCAATGCTACTCACTCAGAATGTGTACTTTGTGAGCATATTAAAGTCAGGAGTGTTGACTATCATACTTGATTATTGTGGTGTCTTTTAGGAAGAATCATATCCTGGGATGAATTCTGCAGTGCTCCATTCCAGTAGTCTCCCAGAGTATTACCTGGAAAACAATATGACCCAGATATCCACTAGAGTGATACAGTCTTCAGGAAGAAAGAGATTGGAATGAAGGAGATACATAGATACCATAAAACAAATCTTCCCAAAAATGTTTTTCATGGTACTTACACAATGTGTATTAGCGTCACTGGTCCCATTAAATTAAGATAACATTCCTACTTTAATTAAGAGATCCTATTTTTAATGGTTCTATTAGTTATTATTTTATGCCCTCATACACAGTTTAAATTACATAAATGAGTTAGTAACCCTGCAGTCCCTTTTAGACAAAGGGACTCTTGCAAGCAAAGAGCTGAGATACAGGCAAATTGATGATGAATGAATGAAAATTGGCAGCACTTCCCAAGCAGAACTGTGATGACATTCAGCCTCATGTCTTAGGAAGGTGTAAGATACAGCCTAGTAGAAGAATAAGATGCTTCACACAAGAGACTAGGAGATTGATTTCACTCTGTTGGTGGGACGGTTGGTGGTTTGATTTTCTTTGTTTTATTTATTTTTATTGTGTTTTTGGTGTTTTAGTGTTGGTAGTTTTGGGAAGATAAGAACTTAGTTCTCCATACCCAATAGAGGTCAGCTTCCTTTTAATTAGTTAGTGAGCAAACAATTTCTCTTTTCTGGATGCAGTCCATGTCCAGCAAAACATTTGATTAACTGGAAAGAAGCACCATTCTCATGCAAGTGTACAAAATAAGTGAAAGAGCATCATTTTCTTAGGGGCTGAGTATCCGCTGCTTATGGGCGCTTTTGGCAGCAAAATGATACGATTAAAAATAGAATGATGATGATCTAGTCTTAAATAATACATTTAATGATGAACTTTCCTTGGTAAAAGTGCATCTCTCTGCCTGCTAAGAATCACATGACCCCTTTCAATAATTTATTTTGTAGAAAAAAATACACTGTTGCTCCTAGAGTTTTTCAGTCATGTGCTGTTGAGTGATTATATTTATGGACCTTCATAAAAATTTTCACTTCACTCAGTTGCCTTTTAGGGCTTTTGTTGCTATTAAATGTCAGTTGAAAACATTTTTTTTTTGTTCATCCTGTTACTTCAGTTGTGCTTTCTAGTGAGAATGGACTGCTCTTTTTAGCAATCCTTGATTGAGCTGGTACACGTCAGATTGCTTAAATGTTATTAGGCCACACATACCATACCAGGTAACAGCCAAAGAAAAGAGAGGGAAGGAGGAAGAAAGAGCAAGAAGGAGGAAGAAAGAGAGAGCAAGCCAACCAGGACAATTTTTATTGCTTTCTTTTTTCTCTCTGTTTCGAGTCCAGTTCTGCTTGGGGAGGGTGACCAACCATTTATGAAAGAGCATGGAGGTGCTAGGGCTCCTCTGCACCTGTTTTTAAGGTTGTTCATCACGTCTTAGTAGTAGTTTAGCAAAGCAGGAGTGCATTTGTGCTAGAAAACAACACTATCTTTGTAGTGTACAAGCAGAAGGTTTTCCTTTCCCCCAAAGATATATCGTATCAGAGGTTCAAAGGTTCTGTTAAACCTTTTTAAGGTAATCTAATATCACCTTATTCAGGTATGGCCATGACCTCTCGATCTGGTCACCTATCCCCTAACTACATATAGAAAGACCACTTGGTGGATTTGTTTCTTACGAAGTTTCTCTTTTCCTCTGCTTGTTTTGATTCAAACATGAACATTTGAAATCTAAGCAGTATTAGTGAGGCAAATCATTCAAGGACTAAGACAGTTACCCCATGAACATGATGGCAAGTCTTGTGTGTTGGGCTCTGGGTTAAATTGGGTACATGGGACAAAAAGCTTGCCCTGCTCTAGATGAACTCACAGGCTAGGGTTGTAGGTGTTCTTATAGAAACTCATAGTTACCACACATCTTCATTACCATGATTCTACACTCCAAGACTTAGAGCAAAAAAGAAAATAACTAAGAACATGTTACTTTGCATGCAGTTCAATTTTTGTCTAAAAAAAGTTATTTCTAACCATATGGCTGTTCATGTGTGCATTAAGGCCTCATTTAAATAAGGGACAATATGCATA